CGATATTGTTAAATTACTTTCTTATATAAAGTCTACTAATAATTGATTATTAGTAGAAGGGATTAGTGTTTAAATGTATTACCGTGTATCGAGTATTAACGCATGCATCATTGGCCGGCAAGATGGTTAATAAATCGATATATCTTTTTAACAACACCAGTTATTGTAAATAGACTTATATAGTCAGGTCAGTAACCTTAATGTGTATTATGTCTTTCTGTACAAACGACGTTTGTACCGCGCGATCCATTGAGTGAACGACGGCCGTGCGAAGCATGTTTACTTAATGGATAATCGCTACTTAACACTTCAATTTCACTTAACACTACGACGAATGGACGAGAGCACGTTCTACCTTCGATTGTCGGAGGATAATCGTTATTATAATTTTGTGTATCCGCAAAGCCCCTGTAAGGCTGATATAATACTAATCTTGTTACCGGATAGATTCTGTCGGACTTCTCGTAACAAGCGTGAGAAGTCGAGGCCGTGATTGAAATACTTCCTCGTTTCTTTATTCCTTCTTGTTTCTTTCTTTTTTTTTGCGCTTACGACAATATGCTTTGTTACTGGCGATGTGGAATGGAAAAATAATATATTCGTAAGAAGTTTTTTCATAAGTAACTAAATTTATTCTTCCTCCGTTTCGATTCAGCGAGTGTCAAGGACTTTTAAAAATTTTGCCGATCAACATTCGACTCGTATAAAATCCTTCGTTCGAGAGGATCAGCGGCGAGATCTAAACAGTGGAATTTCAATCGTCGCGCAACGATCCTCGTACACGGGCGAATTGTAACGTTAGTGAATGTAACAATAAGTTCCATCGAGACGTAAACATATTAGGAAATAGTGTACAGAGTATCAGATTTACAATCGCATTATATTTATAACATAGTAGCAGTAGTTACGTTATTAAACTTTTTATATACGACTCTGTCGGCGTGGCTGGCGTGTCGTTCGAATGAAAATTATATGGATAGCGTTAACGGTCACGGATGCTACCAGCCGATTATCATGAATAACGTGCAGACGCGCGTGTGTGCCTATAGTTCCACTCCGACGTTCAGCGACGAACCGTTCATTTTTTTATTACCGCGGTCGGTACATTCGGAATCGCTTCGTCGCGATATGCGAGACCTCGCATGCGAACGGCGCAACCAGTGTCCAACCGATTTTTACGGAAGTAGGAACTAAATACAGATCGCTTTTTCAAATGTCCTTTGTTATTTGAATGACATCCATTCGACAGCGCTTTATCTTGTAACGATTAAGTACCGTTCAACATTAAAGTTCCAATTACGATGCAAATAAACGAACCTTCTGAAACTTTACTGTTCAACCGACAGTCAACGGTCTCGTCGATGGTGAGGCCGCGATCATTCGTGCTTCTCGTTTTGCTGAGCGTTCGTTATAGCGCTGAGGGGTATGATCTCGGAGCTTCGTTGAACGTTATTATTGTTTTTCAGCGTTGTTCGTATCGTGGTGGTCCGTGTCTTTATCCTAGGCAGATTAGATGAGCTCGCGAGATAGCCACGTTGAACCCGAGAGCCGCTTCCCCCGGTGCAACGGAAAGTACGCTTAAACTCCTTCCGAAATTTTCCTGCAATTCGAGAACGTTCGTCACATTCCAACGATCCTCACTCTACCTTACATCTCTACGCAATCCTTCAAAATACAGGTAAATCCGTCCATGCAACATCTTCCCTCTCAAACTACAGAAAAAAACATGGCGCCACGATCGCCCGATAACCTCGAGTCGAACATCGATCTGCTTGAGTGCAAGTGCTGAACGAAAAGGGCAAGCTATATAATATTTCGTTATCGACCTACATCAAGCGCATTAAGCAACCATTCAAAATTACATTTCCTCTATCTACTCCATACCTATACTACAAAAATAAAATAGGCGGGAACTCAATTCTTGATCGATCAATTAATCGATCGGTTTGAAAATATTTCGATTCTCGAAGCTGCGTGTTAGTTGAACAGTTCCACCACCAGGTGGCTCGTGTTACGAATCTTGTGAAGTCGGAGGGAGATGGTTCTGGTTTTTGATTTTCTTTTACGGCCAATGTTTAAATAACAAATTAGCCGGCCAATGAACGAGGAATATAATATAGCTCACCCCGAGCGCAACCGAGTCTGAGGGGTGCAAAGTCCAAGACTACATTGTTCCTGCGGAGACTCGTTCCCGTCATGGGGCCCCTCCGCGATGGTACTCGGGGCCTTTTTCACCCAAGAGACTCGCATCTCCGCGCGTCAAGTTTGCTCGCGACGGTTGTGCGGTGCGGACCGGTATCCGTTTGCGGTGCAAGCATAGCTGAGCGGCTGGTTCAGTCGGCGATCGTTCGAGTGGTTCGAGGGCGTGCATTCCCGGACTGTACGGCGGAACTCCTGCCGGAACTTACCTGCAAACGACACGCTGAGTATTCTCGTCTACCGTCACCGTCTCTTACCGATCTTCGTCCCGATTTATCGGTGGGCTCGCTCCTCGAGAGGCCTCGCTCGTAGGGGAACACTGGTAGGTGGGTTGGATTTTACGAGTATCTTCGTTGTTTCGAACGCTCGACATGGGGCAGTTTGAACTGAATCAAAATGGCGCGCTTTTAACCCATTCGAGACCGGTGCACGCCGCGCGCAGTAATAATGAGCATTTGTCAGTTCTGAGTGAAGTAGTCGAAGCCTTTTTTTGAATTAACCCTTTCAATCGCTTTTTGATTTGACTGAACAAAATGGTCAAATTTGGAATTCAGTGTCAAATTTTATATAATGTACCGACACGTGGAACGTCGGAATAAACTGGTTCTGTTACTTAGTTTATGCAAGGTATTTCTTTATGTTAGTTGTAGAACGTATCATTGATATTTAATCAGAAAATAATGAATATTTGTTGAGAAGAATGTTCTCGAGTGCAAAGGGTTAATAGGATCTGTGAAGTATAGAAAAACATACTCACCGACAGTAAGAGAATTGAGTTTTTATGACTATCGTCTAGAGATTTTGAAGATCTTGATTGAAAAACCACGTGACAGAATTTCGTCAAAAATTCGTCGTCTCGAATGGGTTAACCACTCGCGCTGGAAACTCGAGACGTTTCTATCCGAAAATTCTCAATGATGTCTTTCACACGTTGATGATCTTTGATACATCGAACTAATTAATAGGGATAACTGTAAAACGGTCAAGATTTTCATGGAGCTTAGTGTTGAAAATATTTCACCATACATGGTACACGTGACACGGAACGTGTTGAGTAACTATTAACGGCGTTAGGGAACTATGATCAATGGACCTCCGAAACTAGCAACCGAATCGCGAGGAGTTACTCGAGAACTGAAACGGAAAGTTTGAGACAACTAGCGGATTGTCATCGGCGAGACAGCGCAGCGTTAAGTTTAATTACGGGATTCTTCAAGCTGCAGAGACAGAAACACCCGGCGATGGGGAACCTTCATCACGGAGGGAACAGTTTCCAGATAAACTCTTGCATAACGAATCGAGGAAACACTGGGAAATAGAACTTGTGACCCTTTTTTCCCACGACCATTACAGTAAGGAAGCTTTCAGTATGTCTTGAGTCAGGATAAAAGTGATTCAGTCTCGCTACTTTGGGTTTCTCTCCATCGATTCGACACTACATCTTACACTAGCCTTTTGGGGACCATAGCAGAATTGAAGACACCTCAGGGCGACGCAGGTAAACTCAGGGGACTCGTAAGTAGGTTTGGGTTCATTAGTAGCAAGTAGTATCAACGGAAACGACTCGAAGACCGTATAAATTAGGAGCTTCCTACATGAGTTTCCTTTTAGACGTGTTCCGAACTGTTGAAGTAATGAAGTGGACCCTAGCCGAGCCCAAGGATGCAGCTTCCGTTTATGGTCCCGCTGCGTTCACTCGCTCGGTCTTTACCACCGAGCATGCGTCACGATGGAATACCGAGAAGATGGGTGGACGCGTCGACGGACACGTGTGTTGTTCACGGTCCGTCGTGTTTCTCCGGCGAATAGACGATCGAGCTGTACGAATGAAAAACAGGTTGTCATCTGCGCGATCTTTCACCGCCCCCGACCAAAGATTTATCTCCCTGATGTTCCCAGCGGGCTACTCGATTCGTTCTCATCCCCGAATCGCCTAAAGTCTCGGTGTTTCTTCTCTATGGAGCAGATCCATTTCTAGATCACAGTTGGTCCCCGGGTACACAAAAGAAGAGGCCATTTGCGAACGCGTTCGAGCGTGTTATCACGGAGGGAAACGAGTCTGGAAGGAGTCGACGCGAAGACTACAGGGAAATCGGAAGTAACCATCCGTCGTGTCTCCCCTCATCGGTATTCCGTCGGCGGCAATGAATTCGAACAGTCGGCGACAGGGACCTCGTGAAAGATGTATCAATTTCCGACGTCGGTCCGCGGCGTTGATTCCGCACAACGCTCGATAATTTCGTTCGCGTTAACGCGTTGACTGCCACGAGAAACATCGGTTTTATGTATCGCTTATGCTTTCTATAGCAAAAAATTTCCAAATAAAGCGGAATTATGAATTCTCTGATACGAGAATTCTTATATTACTCTATTATCTAGTTGTTTACGTAACGGAAAATTTGTATTATAATCTTCAACGTCATAATTATTTGATATGAAAATGAATAATTTAATAATTCAATTCTCCAATATGAGAATTCTTATATCACTCTATATAGACATTTACGTTACGGAAAATTTGTATTATAATCTTCAAAGTCATAATTATTTTATATGAAGATAAATAATTTAATAATTCAATTTTCCAATATGAGAATTCTTATATTACTCTATTATCTAGTTACTTACGTTACGGAAAATTATTATAATCTTCAAAGTGAATTATTTGATCTGAAAATGAATAATTTAATAATTCAATCCTTTGATATAAGAATTCTTATATCACCCTATTATCTAGCTGTTCACGTTCCGGAAAATTTCTATTACAATCATCTTCCAAGTCACGATAATTTTCTCCTAATCGAAAGCTCGAATCACCGATGACCACCGCGGCAGTCAAAGCGTTAAACGACACGTCCGTCCCGTCGATCATTCCGCTGTCCCGTCGCATCGGTACGTTCGACCGGTTTTCGAAATTTATTCGCCGGATCAGCTTGCCGCGAGTTTCCAAGACAAAGCGGGCCGTCGTTCGTCAACGCGACACACGGGATGGGAGGAGTCTTTTGTCCCGAACCGCGAAAGGAGCAACAGCTGCATCACGATTGGCGCCTGCCGGTTGAAATGTACTGGCGCGATCGTTCTCCGTGCACGGGCGGGGGTGCTGGCGGGGTGCGACACGGTGCGGCGTGAATAACGAAAATCAGGAAGGAATTCAGTGGTCGTTTACCGCTCATGAAGTTGTAGATCAAGGGGTTAACGGCGCTGTTGAAGTAACAGAGGCCGTGCGCGATTAGGCTGATGGCGTTTATCCACTTGTTCGACGGTAACGTAATGGTATACCTGGAACGATAAACAACGGTTACATGGATCCCTCCCTCGCGTAATGACGGTGATCGTTTTTCCATGCAACACGGCCACACAGTCCGCCGTTTCTCCCGTCGCCTGTTGCATTCTCCATGATTGTATTCGCCTCATACGTTCCTCTTTTTGCCCTAGAGTCGCAGGACACTGGCTAGTACCTTAACACGGAGAGCAAGTGCACCGGGAAATAGCAAATGGCGAACGTGATGACCACCGTCACCAGCATCTTCGCCGCCTTCCGTCTGGACCTTAGCTGCGCCTCGGTGTTGCCGCCGCCGGAAGGTGTTTGGCTCATCTGGGAGGCTCGCGACGTCACTGCAAATCCGTGCAACGATTAGTCATCACGCGGCGTTATCGTAGAGCGGTCTTAACACGTTAAGCGCCACGAAAATCTTAAGCGTCTTCCCATAGAAAGATAGGAATAATTATGAATCGTTTGGCGTTGCACGTTTGCGTTACACTATTATCAACTTAGTTGCTTTGTTAAACATTATTTCACACCGGTTGTCTTGTGTGTTACGATTGTTTTTTAGTCATTCAGAAGCGTCAGTCACCAGTGACTGACATGGCGCTTGACGTGTTAAGCGTCGTTCAAGTTAGAATGTTGCGGGAATGTCGAGCAACAGCGTGATCATAATATTTATCAGTGACGTTATGCAGAGGAGTAGGGATAATCTAAGCAAATGCATTCTTAGACCGCGCGAGATTGAGATTCTTCTAGTATTCTATGTATCGTTGGATACGTACAATGATCTACAACGATGGATAATTTAGACAGTGAACTAACTTAATAAGAAACCGGATGAATCGAGAATCAAAAGATTAGATTGTTCCACGTTCCATCGTGTTATCTCTTTATGTAATAAGCTGTTAACGACATGCACCTTCGATCCGCTTTTATTATAACTTCTCGCAGTTAAACTAATTGTTCCAGAGACTCCGCCGGCACACTCTCGCGTTATGGACCGTAAACGTCGCGTTAAGCGCGATCGTTACGGGCTCGGGACGCTGAATATTAAAAGCGATACGATAAGAAGGGTGTCGCGAGCATAAAACATTTCCGAAGAAAACGTGTAACGACCCGTTCAACGCAGAGAATCATGGAAGTGCTTGTTATACCGCGTTTCGGATTACCCTATCCCGTCCAGCCCGGATAAAGGACGTTTCCGGCCGGCGAAAGAAATGTTCCTAGCAGTCCGTCAACGCGGTAAGGTGATTCGTATTCGAGACGAGTCCGGTCCGGCGATCGGTTTTCGCTTACTCACAATTGTGACCCGGTATGTCGCTCCTCCAGAGGACCCTCACGATCTGCCAATACGCCACGCTCATGAAGATCAGCGGCCCGGTGTAGAGGAAGATCAGCTTGAGGACGGTGAATGTGACCTGGCTCTCCTGGCTCCAGGATATCGTGCACTCCGTGAACAGGATGGTCTTCACTTTGATGTGACTCGGCGGGAAGGTGTGCAGCACGGCCAGGTCCGGTATATCTGCGGGAACGGTGAGTGTCTTTTACACGCGAGCGTGTTTCTCGCGGTATTTTCTAGGCGACTAAAAACCAAGCAAAAGGATGTCGAAGCACGGAGGCGAGCTACGAGCGAGTCAGTCTCGAGAACTCGCGTCGACGGCCGGGCGACGCTCTCAGACCCAGAAACCCGCTGCTCGAAACGCTCGGAACTTGCTGCTCCTTTTTCCATGGAACGAAAACTCTCGGGGAAAGTTGAGATCCGCTCGCCTACCATACGAACGTCACGATGCAAATGCGTGAATATTAAGCGACTCCGGGAGCTTCCGCGGGACTGTGGACGATCACGGTGTCAGAACTTTCCGCGAGCGTGGATGTAAACGAATGAAATGGATTGTTCTTGGCACATTGCGTACCGGCTAATTTTCAGAACACTGAATTGTGCAGATGATTTTCAGTGAGGTCAACTTATATCACTGTACATAGAAAAACTCAGATATATTGTTATGTGATATATTTTAAATAGATAAGCAATTCGAATGAAATTTTATATTTTTTCAATGCTGTAATTAGCGAAGTTATAGCTAAGTGTCTTTATATAAAAACGAGATATCTCGTTACCGGTGCGCAACGTGTTAACACGTTAAATGCCAAGGTGGTTACCGGTGAAGCAAAACGAATTACTATAATTCACTCGATTAAACGATGATTATTCGCAAACATTTCTATATTACAAATAACAGTGGTTCTGCGGTGAACAGGCGAGAAATATTTACCGAATAGTAAAGCGATCGCCCAGATGCCGATGATCGCGGTCTTCGCTCTCCCCGTGGTCGACTTGAACCGCAGTGGGAAGCATATCGCGTACCAGCGGTCTATCGATATAAAAGTTAGCGTCAATATGCTCACGGTCACCGAGACTGTCTGAAACAGAGACGAAACCGTTGCCGCGAATAAACGTCCGCTGGCTTACATTGTATTAACGAGGGGCCCGGATCACGCTACCCCGGAAGACGAAGTTCAGGAAGTTGCGAGCGGAATCGAACGGAACCCTCGCCGGCTTCGAACGCTTCCGGTGGCCGTTCGGAGGACCGTACCGGAGGAAAAAGGAACAGGGGAAGAAAGAATTAATTGCCCTCATTTGCAATGCTAACTTGATCGTTCGCGGAATTTCCATAACTTCCGGTCGCCGTGGAATTTACATGCTGTATTTAGGATCGGGGGCGAGGATTGGCTGTGACTGTAACTGAAACGGTATTTAACCCTTAAAACTCGAAGTAACGAACGTGTAATGAACGATCAAACATAAGTGAAATGAGGAAACAGATGAGACTTGAGAAGCGTATGAAGACTCAATAAGTCTATCATGTAGCGTTGTATGAATGAGTCAACAGAAGTCTCCAGAGCTTAGACGTTAAGCGCCACGAAAATCTTAAGCGTTTTCCCATAGAGTTTGTTTCTTGTAGCAAAGAAAGATAGGAATAATTATGAATTGGCGTTGCAACGTTTGCGTTACACTATTATCAACTTAGTTGCTTTATTAAACATTTTCAGTCACCAGTGACTGACATGGCGCTTAACGTGTTAACAGATTCGCTACCATTACACAATGAAAATGAAATGAATCCTACAGATATTATTAGAAACGATAACATTACAGGAACACAATGACTCAGTTTCATCTTTCTAATATTCTGTTTAGATTTACTGGACCGAAGGAAATATGATTGAAGAGACGTCACCGAAATAAGCGCTGGCAGCGACCACGCTAAGCTATCGGAATCCTCAACGTCCTTTACTCTCGAAGATTCAACTGGCTGTTGCTACACCAACACCGTAGTGTAGAGCAGTGGTCGATAATGGTCAGGAGTGGTCACTTACTGGTAAACAGTGGTCACTGGAGGTTACCTATTGGTCAATGGTGATTTGTAGTGTTCGCTTGCCTGCCAATAGGGATCACCAGTGGTCACATACAGTAAACAGCGGTCGGAGATCAGCGGCGTCGAGGAAGTTCCACGCGTAGGTGGACAATAGTCGACAGGGAAAATAGCGAATAGCCGCGGTGTCCTCGACGCGCACCGGCGACGCGTCGCGAGATGAATACAGCCGTGCGTATCGTACTTTTTGGACTCCCCATCCGATAAACGGGTTTATTCGGTGCGGAGCTCGGAGCGCGTCATGAATATAAAACGAACGCCTAGGAAATATGGGCAATGGGTTCTAGGAGTCCCCCGGTTTCTCGGGGAAATTGATAAAACTGTAGCCCCGGCCCGACGCGCGTCCCTCCGCCGTTCCTCCTCTTTTTGCGCACGGCAGGATTTACTGCCGCCAGCATTCTCGGTTAAAGCGCCGAGCTCTCTCTCTCTCTTTTTCTCCGGACTGTCCACTCGCGGGATTAATCGAAACAGCTCCGTCCGGGGACGGGGTCCGTCGACGTCGTATATCCCGTTGTCGGCCGGTTAAAAGATTCATCGTCGTCTTATCGGGATCTCGAATTGCCTCGTTAAGCGAATTGCGACCCGGACACAATCGCGGCGCGGCCACGTTTTTGCCCCCGGTGAAATTCGCGCGCGACAGCCTTGTCGCTCGATGTTACCGGTGTTGTGACGCCTTTCCGTAACGGCACATGCACGGCGGCGCACGTTTAAGAGGCCGCCGGCCGCTGTCGATTCAATTTCGGGATTGCCGTCAAAGGGCTCGTTAACCGGGCTCCCCGTCCGCCGTCGGTGTATTCGAATTGATCGCCGAGAGTGCCGCCTCTCGCTCGCGCGCGCAACACAGTTGCTCTCAAACTCGGCCCTCCGCTGACAGCCCGCGCCCCGCGGTATTAGTTCTCCTCTGATTAAATGTTTGCGCCGTACCACTTCCGATTTCCGCTGATTGAGACCTACGCCTTGTGACTTTGGCCGAAGCGAGAAAGAACCGTTGAAATGTTTATCCCTTTGCGCTCGATAAGATATTTCTCGTAAATATTCATTATGTTCCGTTGAGATGTTTATAATACTGTTAGCAGGTAGCACAAAGGGTTGGAATTAATTTAGTTCAAAGGTTCACGTGTCGATACCTGATACAAAATTGAATATTGAATTTCAGGGTTCATAATTTGCGTAGAATCAAATGGCGAATGGGTTCTCTTTGCGCTCGATAAGATATTTCTCGTAAATATTCATTATGTTCCGTTCGAATGTTTATAATACTGTTAGCAGGTAGCGTAAAGGGTTGGAATTAATTTAGTCCTAAGGTTCACGTGTCGATATCTAATACAAAATTGAATATTGAATTTCAGGGTTCATAATTTGCGTCGAATCAAATGGCGAATGAGTCGCCTCTCGAGTGCAAAGGGTTAACCCTTTGCGGAGGAATGTCGACGCTTCGACGAGATGAAGTTTTCATGTTTCGAAGATTAAGTCGTAAACAAATAATTTAACTACTCAAACACCAAGAGATCAGCACGTAGTTTCCCTTCTTCCTATTAATTAAGCAATTGATATATAATTTATCTCTATCTTTGAAGGTTTCAAACATCTCAAAGAATCTTTGTCCGCAAAGGGTTAACGGAAGGTAACAGAAACATTTCATCTTCGAGCTTTCCGCTTGAGCCGCAATAATTTACACTGGTTCAGTCTCGTCGGAGGATACTTAAAAATATCATTTACTATTCTCATTCATTAGTAAACTCTATTATCATTGATTATCAATATTCTTCGTTCATCAAGTAGACTGTTCCTGCAACCACAGTTGAAGATCACCGACTAATCCCATCTGCCTCGGCTGGCTGCGTCTCCTTCCAAGTTCACATTATGCAGGCGTCCCGAAGATCCCGGGACCGCGAGTTAAAGGATGCAGCGCGGGATAATCGTTGCCATTTTACGGCCGACATTCCTCGCCGGTGACACGGTGAACCGATTAGTTCCCGGCCAGCGAGTCTCAACGAATCCGATCCGCGCGCGGACGTCCCGCGGCGTCGGATGCCTTCGGACAGGGCTCGTTTCCTGTAAACGGACCTCGACTCGTTGCCTCTGGTTGCGCAATCCGGCCGGAAATTAGCCGAAGACCCAGGAATCGTTTACTCCGGCCGAGGAACGCCACGGACACCTGAGGGAGGCTTTAATTCCGACGGGGAGGAGGCGTCCGGTGTCCGGAGAGCTCATTCGAGGCAATCGTTATCGCGTGTTGCAACGGGGTTGTAACTTTCGCCGGGCGGGAGATTAATTATTCCCTTCCCGCGGGACGCCGGCTAAGCGGGGGCAGCGCGGAGACGCCGGTGATACACTTCTCGCGGGCGGATCGCGGATTTCACGCTTCCGTCGTGCTCCCTCCAGCGGCAACTTCGTCGAACGTACCGAGTGCGGCAGGTTTCAGATTACACAGATCCAAGAAAAGGAAGAAAACAATTTCACGGGTTGCCAGCGACAGGATATCTCGCGGAATCCGCAACTGGATTATCCTCTAACGGATCCTCCTCGGTGGTGGGTATATCAGTTTAATCCGGCGACCGGTTCAATCGAGTATTCGTCTAATTTCCCCTGGAATGTGCAGGTCGGCGTGCAATCCACTGCGGAACTCCGATGGAAGTTTCCTGCGTGGTGCACGCGGAACGAGCGTACCTCGCGAGCGAGCGCTGGTTAAAAGGTCGATCGTTAAGCCGGTCGCAGTCGTAATAATTAGACTCGGTCAAGGATCTCTCGATGGGAAGATATATTCCGGTGTAACGCGGATCGATCGCCGGTGGAGCGGAGACGGTGCGTTTAATACGCTGCCGGGGCAAATTGTTTGGGAGTGAGGCCGTTATTGTAGTAGCGGACAGTTTCCGCGCAATTAAGCCCAGAGGTTCGCGGCGGAGAAGTGATACGTCCTAATTTATTCGTCGGCGGCGTGCGACGACGATGTCCGAGCGGCGCGGAATCGTCGCGACGGAGATTAACGGCCGGCCGGAATGAGATTAATGCGGGCCGCCCGTTTTAATCGCGCCCGGTATGGCCGAGGTATCGAAAGGAACAGGGTCGAGTAATTCCCAGCACGGCCGCGTGCATAACGGATGAGCCGAAGCCTCGCCAAACAAAACGCATTGTTTCCGCCGGGCGCGCCGCCCCGTGGGATTTTTCCCGATTGTTCGCCGGTCGGAGCACGTTTCAATTAAATCACGGCTATCTGCGAGTCGCAGTCGCGGCAACGCGTGCCTAACGTGTCACGGATGGCCGTGATCCTCTGCCGGACACCTTCGCGTGTCTCGTTCGTCGATTCAACGGCCGGCGATCGACGGCTGAACGACGAGAGGGAATTCGGGGAGGGATCGCTTTCGAATCTACGCTCGGATGTAGTGGCATCGATCCTTGGTGTCTAAACCCGCTTCGTTTCTCGATAAGATCTCCGCTCGAATGCCTAGCCCGTCTCCGCGGGATCGTTTCCGTTCGCTCGATTAATTAGCGAGATTGTCGCTCCACGGGCATAACCATCGACGATGAGGAATGAAAGAGAGAGAGAGGAAGAGAGAGAGAGTGAACATTAGGACGATGGTCTGAAAAATTCATGCGATCGACCCGGCCATGGGACAGAGTTGTTCGAAGTGAAATATCGCCGGGATGGAGCATTCCGCGGGGCACGGCCGGCCACTTTGCCGTCGCGATAGAACGGTCGACACGCAAGCTTTATATCATTAGGCGATGTCGTGTCTTTCGGGGCGCGTACCGACCTCCCGGAGCGGCGGAACGCTCCGTCCCGCTTTCTGAACTTGGAATATCCGACCGGCGGCGTGTAACGCTGACACACTTTCGCCCGATCGCCGGAGTTTAGCTGGATGACAGTGTCTTCCAGTACGAAGAGAGTTGGGTAAATGTTTTTAGGAAAATCAGGAGTTGGAAGCGAAGAAAAGAGAATTAAGGAGAATGAAGAAAAAAATAAAGGATGTAATTGGGAAGGAGGAAGACGTGCAGAGGAAACAGAGGCAAGAGGCTATTGTTAAAACATGCTGTCTTCCAGTACAAATGTTTTTGGGAAATCAGGATTTGGAAGCAAAGAAAAGAAAATTAAGGACAATGAAGAGACGAAAAAATAGAGGATGTTGTAATTGTGAAGGAGGAAGACGTGCAGAGGAAACAGAGTCAAGAGGCTATTGTTAAAACAAAGCGAGAAAGAAGGTACATGTAATTTGAAGCTGGGAATCTCTATGCACCGGTAAACTCGAGCGGGTTCAAGCCAACTGCAGCGTAAAAGAAACGGCGTAATTTCTCTCAAAGGACTCGATGCTTTAACCGTTTCAGTCCCACCGGTTTTTGCACCGGTCGAAAAATGCCAAGCGCTTCCGTTTCAATTCAGACACTGAATTAGGCTTGTCTATTTTTATAGAAAGAAACTTTAATGCTGGAACTTGTAGAGAGGTCAAAATGACCCACTCCTGATTCCTTCTCTTTACAATTATTACAAAGATGAGTAAACCTAGAGTTATTATTATGTTAAAGTTACTGTAGAAATTGATTTGCGATAGTATTTGACTGTTCGGTAGTTCTAGCGTCGAATAGTGCGATCGTTCTCCAGTTCTAAGGTAATAGCAAACATAAAACCGAGTAATTAGAAGGAAAGAAATAAATAAGCTCTGATTCTACGAACCGGTACTGCCACTTTTAGGCAACATAGCTCGATCGGTTAACACTTTGCACTCGAAAGTTACTTAAAATACTCTATACTTTCTAATTAGATGTAGACAAGATTTAAAATGAATTCATCAGGAAATCACACATAGATTAGGTAACAAAGCTTCTTCCAATGTTTCACTATTGATGCAGTATAAAGGTCAATGGTAATACGAAATTTTCTAATTTTAGGATCAAACCATCTCGGGAGTCGCCTCTCGAGTGCAAAGGGCAATCCTCGGAAGAAGCGTGTTACCCCTCGGGAGGAGCTAATAATTGATGTCGACATATTTCGCCGCGTCTCCGGGGATGTCCCTGAATTCGCCCGATGCATCGACAGTCGAACCGACGAAGAACCTCGCGGGAAATACACTGGGAAAGAAGAGAAACTTCTCCCGGGAACGACTGGGTCAACTTCTAATTCGATCGCGTTGACGAATCGCGCGGTTGATTACCATTCAGCGGGCCAAGTTCGGGTTCGCGTGGCTTCCGGAGACGCATGGAAATGTCCTCGGCCCCCGGGGACCTTCAAGAAGTATGTCTGAACGTTCGCCCGCCGCCCGGTTGGCAGAGATTCAAATGCGACGCCGGCAACCTGGAAAAGTTCCGCGGCTAATCGCCGCTGCCGGCCGGCCGGCAATTATCGTTGCTCGCGAGCGGCCGCCGTATCGCACCGAAACCGAAGTTTTATGCGGACCGTAAACCGTAGATTACGCGTGGCCGGTTTGCGCCGGCGAGCCGTGTAGTTTGCGACACGCGTAACAAGTATCAACTAGCCGAGGCTAAATTACTTGTAGCCGTACTGCGCTTTTGTTTGATTCCCCGTGTATTTCGCGGACGGTTTCCGGGACGGCGCCCGCAGCTTCCGCAAACGGGATTAACGGAGAATGTTGTTGGAACTGGGTTGAGAAACAGCACCTCGGAACGGGGATATTTTATAGTCCCCTTCGAATCTTTCGTTCCGATAATTCTGGCAGTCGATGAATCTTCTGTAAACTCTGAAAACTTTCGTAATTGCGAAAGTATATATCGTTGACAGTATGACTAAATTTGCGTGTCTACTCGAGAATGTTGAAGAGACAAATGCAGAATGAAGTTCTAGTGCCAGGCGGTGCCGCTTCTCCGGTATGCTGTCTGAGTGACAGCCTTTCGTTTTATAGAATCAAATGAAGTTTATCTATTCTTCCTTCTGTTTAATTTTATTCTCATTATCACCTGCTTAGGCAGGGAAAAACAGAATGACCGTGTTTAGAACTTTTTTATCTGAAAAAGCGTAATTCAGTCTCCGAAACGAAAGAAGCGCGCAACGAAGGAACAGTTGACTGCCACGAGAATTTCGAGCGTTTGTTACAAGAATACTTGTACTTGGACTTTATAGAGGAAATCGCTTGAAAGCAATTACAATAAGATTGATATTGAATGAAAATATTTAAGAAGCCAGACAATAGAATAATATGAATACTGTGATACCAATACATTAATGATTATATGTAATACTAATGTTTTGGTATCACAGCATTCATATTACTCTATCTATCTTCTCAAATATTTTCATTCAATATCAATCTTACATCAATTGCTCAATTCGCAAGCTCTAGTGACCACCGTAACAACCAGCGCGTTAAACCGGTTAATAAAACCAGCTCGCGATCGAATCGAGAAACAGCCGTAGGTTTAATCGAGCAACGTTCCAAGCGTCCACGTCCGCGGGGGTATAATTAAAAAGCACTTACGTCGGGTTCGTGGTTCACGGTGATACCGTCCGCGGCCCGGCAAACATTAGCCCGGCACGATTCTCTGCGGCGTTGATCGCGACGAACGCGTCCAATAGCCGCAAATGAATTCACCGGCGAGTAAACCGACGCCGCGTAATCGATGCCTCGAACGCGCCGGTGCTATCTTCGACCGTTTACCTTCTCCCGCCCACGGGGACGTTGATTCCGTGTCGCTGCCGCGGACGACGGTATTCCGCGAGGCAGGAATTCCGCCGGAATCCGGAGCGCGCGAGAAGAAAAGTGGGACGGCGCTCGTTACATATTCCTCCGGCGCGGCGGATGCGAGTCGTTTCTTTTCGGAGATCGCGCGGAGATCGTTAAATGTATCTACACCGCTCGCTGGGAGTTGAGCCGGTACGTGCGCGCTTAATCAACGAACCCCGTGATACCTCGCGTTGCCCTCGATACGCTCGATCCAATCCGAACTGCGGTTCGACGAGTACCAGAGGGTTAGAACTCGTGGATGACGGAGTCATAGATCCGTATCTTCCGACGGATAGAATAATGCCGAGGGATGAAACTCGGGGAGTCATTGGCCGGATGACAGTGAATCAGCGCGTTATATTGACTGCCGCGTTAAACCGCGTATCTATCGCGGACAGGTTTATTTGTAGGGTCGTTTATCGGTATTGGGCCGGAGAACAAACTTCTTTAGTTTATTAGGACTCCTATTATGACCGGGGAGGATAAATTTATTGAGCGTTCTGTGGTTTCAGGGGATTGACGGTTTCTGGAGATTTCGTTCAGAGATGTATAGGCTTAGGGGATCGGCTTTAGAGGATCGAGATTGCGGTCACGATAGACAATTAAGGAATGGGTCATTTTGATCTATCTGGTGGTTCTATGATCAACCACTCTAATGATAGTAATTCTAACCTTTTGCACTCGAAAGTTTTCTACTGGGAATATCCAAGATTTTCCGACGACGTACAGACGATGTTTGAGCCTAATCTAACGATTATTCACAGTACAATAAATATTTCACATAACAATACAAAGTTTCATTTAAAGTACTAAATATTTAACTTCATAGTTTGCTGTATCAAATCAAATGCTGACTGTGGGTCACCTCTCGAGTGCAAAGGGTTAACTATTTCAATGAATCTTAAGGGAACTACCTTAAGATTATTAGATCTTCCAAATATACAAAGTTTGTACTGACAAGGGAATCAAAGGTCTAAGAAATGTTATAACATTGTTAATTCTCAGTAGCACTACCATCAAAATTGCTAGGAGTTGCTGACATATCAAAAAACTATGTGGAGTGCTAAGGGATAAAGGTCAAAGAAATGTCATAACATCGTTAATTCTCAGTAGGTCTACCATCAAAATTGCCAGGAGTTGCTGACATAAAAATTAAATTATACATAGCATAACGTTCAGTAATCTCCAAGCCTATCACTGTGCTTATCTCGCTAAATTCTCCGCTTCCTGATACACGTATCAAACACTGATTAGACAATCCTCCACAGGCTTCCCAAGAAAAACGAGGACAAGTGTTCAGGACGTCGCGGAACCGCTCGGAGTACGCTGTCCCGTAGCGAAACGCTGTTGCTCCCGGCGAAGCTTATTTACCGGTACGCTCGAGTGCTTTACCTTGTCGGCGGCGATCGACGAGGGCCGATTATACGAGTAATTCGTTACGCCTGCCACGCCACGGGCGAATGTCTTTGATATTGGATACACGGCGCGCGGTGTAATTAAAAGGGATTCAGTGGTTCTCGGTGTTCCCGTGGCGCATCATTCAGGGCGCGCCGTTAATACGTTAACCGGAGACGGCGAGCTCACCTTGCTTCGCCGTTCGACCGACTTCCGGTAACTTCTAATCTCCGCGCAATTTACGACGGATCGTTATCCCTTTCAATCTGCAATAACGTCTTCTTCCTCTTCGTTCCAGAGACCTCGGGTTCCTTACAATCAGCGGAGAACGAGGAATCCCGCCGAGGGAATCGAAGAATCCGCGTTACAGCGCGGTCGAGTCACATTCGCGGCGAGTTTGTCGAACGGATTGGATTGCCGCGAGCGGCCGAAGGAATTATGCATGCCGCATACACGGCTCGGCGAGGGGCGAGCTCGTATTTACCCGGCGCCGCGGTTCTCTCGTTACGGCCGCGTGTTTTGCTCGACCTCTTTGGTTCTCCGCGCGCTGTACGCTCCGCGCGGAGCCATTCACGTACACGCCGGCGTCCGTCAACGCGTTGCTCGTGTTTTTTCCAACGGCAACAGCGCTCGCCGAGGTACCTCCCTTTTCTTCGGAATTTTCGCGGGCCCTCCCCTCGTTAGAATTCATCCGGTTAACACTGGAACCGACTCGACGTTCGTATTTCATTAGAGAAATTACGCGCTCCTTGAGATTCCAATAGACTACGCGTGCGCGTCGGTCTATCGAGTTTGGTAATTCATTACAAAAGCATTCCCGTGTTTTCAGCGATCGCGGAAGAGGCTCTTAATGGATCGTCTCGAGACAGCCGTCGCTGAAAAGCCGGCGATTGTCGCTGAAGAAGTATTGAGAACGTCGCTGCGACGAAGGACGGGGAAAATCTAGGGAACTCGATTACCAGGGAGCGGCAGATGGTCGAATTAAGAGCGCATTGAAGGATCTTTCCGGGGATCCGCGGCGCCGCGGTTGAGAACCGGGGAATAAGTTATCGGGCAGGAACGGTGTGCAACAACACGTTGTAAGATAATGCGATTTGGTACCCGGCAGAGAGCTACCTTGGTCGCGGGACCGTGCAGCTACATCGACGTCGGGACACGAACACGCGGGACGTGTGTTCGAACACGGGAGCACAGGTATACGCGGCTGCTGTGTACACAGAGGCCATGATAAACGAGCCAGACGATATTTCCGCGCAACTGTGCTCCCGCATACGAGTGTAACAGCGCAGCGTTATGTCAATGCGATCGCGTTTTAAGCAGATGTACGGAACGCACGTGCCCGCAGGAATCCTGGGTTTACCCTGTGTGACTTGCTGGATAGCCGGAATCGTGGCCTGCGTTAATTGTAGTGGCACTCTGGGTTTAAATTCGGTTGAGGATTTCAAGAACTGCAGGTTGCTTCCAGGAACCCCGAGGAATTGTTCTCCGGAATGATTCATGAACTTTTAAATAGGTCTGTAGGATTGTGAACGTCTTTAGGAGAATCTTTTTGAAAGGAGGTATTGTTGAAGGCTTTTGAAAAGACGCTCCGGTTCTACGGGGGAGCTTGAAGAAACCTTGAAGTATGTAGAAATTTAGAATTCATATGGAGGACTACGACTGGTGCAAAATCTTCGTAGGATAATGTTAGTTTGATATTATTACTTTGATATTTCACATAGTGAATATTTCAATTAGTAGAAAGCCTTGGCATTAGAAAAATAATGGCATTAGTCAGTTAACCCTTTGCACTCGAAAGTTTTTCACTAGAAATATTCACAGGCAAAACGAATTGCTATAATTCACTCAATTAAACGATGGTTATTCGCAAACATTTCTATATTACAAATAATGATACTCATTGCGACATTCAGTTTGACGAACACGCAATGATAATCCAATTCAGTCAAATGATTCAATATTAATTTTTCCATTTTCCATTTCAATAGTAATTTTTTCCATTTTGTCTATTTTTCTCGATGAAATCGGCGTTCAACATGTTAACTCGGTTAGATTACTCTAGGAACGTTAGCGTCTCCGAAGAAGCGATAACGCTCGATTACCTAACAAGTTAATTGTTCCTCCTCGATGAAATTGCCGTTACCAACAATCCGCGCCGATTAATCGTTGAAAACGAATCATTTAATCGTACGCGCCAGTATTTCAGAACCGGAGCGGCGTCCCCGAATTGCGTCCCGCTGTAACAAATGAAAGCTACATCGAATCAATTTCGGGTCGCAATTTCGTTACGCGGTGGCGGGATGTGATTGATGCTGACGAACAAGCCAAGTTATTGTGCGTTTCCCGCGGCGTCGTCGTTTTTGTCTAACGGCGATGTCGCGCGCTCCGCTGGCAAAAAGTTTTAATTCGAAAAATCCATGGGAGACCGTGCAAGACGAATGAGTCGGACATTGGACGGAATCCAAGACGAAGGCGGTGTCCTCGTTCCCCCTCGGGGCTCTTTTAACGGGAACGACGCATATTCGTTCTCGTTAACGCGGCTGCAACGGATCGCAAAGGGCGACAATGATTAGCTGCAGCTATAGATTCTGGCCGCGCATTCTCCCGCGAGTCTTCGCCGAGGCGAACGCCAAAGCCTGAAACAATACCCTAACAATAGGCTATAAAGCAAGTTCGTGTAACGTTGCCTTCGACTCCGACACGAGATACGGTCTTTGTATTCCGTCTCTTCGCAGTATCGTATCGTATTAAACCCGGCCCCCTCCCGGGCTCGTATAATTTTATTAAATTCCGTCTGAACGGAAGATTCAATTATCCTGCGCTCGCGAGCCGCTGCAGACGTCCGAATTCCTTCGAGAGCTCCGAGCCAACTCGACCTTATCGACTGCGATCCGGCGACAACGATAACAACAACAATCCACTTCAGCGAGTGGTAATTAAACACACTGGACGGGGAGACCCGGAGATCGCGGGAAAAACGAAGCGCATTACGGCGCCGTCAATTTCGAGATAAGCCGGGGACTTTATATCGCCGCGGAAAATACGAGGACGGGTGTCTGAGATATTACACCGATGGAACATAAAATTCTTGAGTATGAGCCACAGTAACGACGCTGCAACCGCGTTAATGCCACGCCGGTATGCAGGATTCGAGCTATCGGATTATAATAATTTGATCCGCGGATTGCAGGATATTGCGCAGCTTTACGAGCTTGCGAAGACATCGTTCTACCTGGAAGGTACTCGATGAGGTCGAAGAGCTGAGGGATGAGATAACGGAGCGAACCCTTAGCGGACCGGAAGTGTTTCGAGTTTAACCCTTTGCACGCCAGAAGTTTTTCAGGAATATTCAGTATTTTCTGATGAGATACAGGTGACATTTTCTTAGATTGAATTAAGAAATCTCACATGCATTGAGGAAGAGAACTATTTTCTTTCAATATTTCGTATATTGATACATTGTACAATGTTTAATTCATAGAAGTGATATAGCACAATACTTAGCAATTAGCTAACTGAATGGAAGATCTATATTTCCCTTAGCAACGTATCGCCTTTTATTTTGTTTGTTGTCTCTAAATGATTCGATAGAAAATTAGAAACTTTAGTATTTGCCATTAACCTTTGCATACTGTATCAGTACCTGGAATATTGGAAGGAAATAGCTTTTCCTAATTTATGTGATTTCTTGATGAATTCGCTTTAACCCTTCGAACCCCGTAGGCTCCAATATCGCACCAGGAATAATATTAGATATTTGAATGAATCTTAAAGAAACTACCCTACAATTATTAGACTTTTCACACGTTCAAATTTTGCACTAAGAAGAAAAATAAAAGATCTAAGAAATATTGTATTTTGTAATTTTCGCTAGGAATACTATAAAAGTTAGTTGCAGCTGCTGATAGATTACAAAACCATCTGGAGTGCTAAGGGTTAAAGAATCTTGTCTACATCCACCTAGAAAGGATTGAGTATTTCAGGTGAAAAACTTTCGAGGGTTAAATACTACAATAATAACAGCGATGAAAAGAATAAAATGATCTTTCCGAATCGGCTGGGATTCGCTAAGTAAAAGTGCCGTGCTTACACGGCGGCATCGGTCCGTTAAGGGTTAATATTGGAGTGGCGTACGAATGTTGCTCGCAATATCGGTAATGGAACAAATTCGCCCGTCACGGCGCCACGTGGAATTTTAGTTTCGACCCGGCTAGAACGAACTAATGCCGAATTACAGGGCTCGCTCGACGCGGCCGCCATCGCGGCGTTTATTCCGCTCGGCTGCTCGAATCTGCACGCGATGAAAATCGGCACTACCGCGGATCTGATTTTCTCGCTCCTTCTGCGGGCTCGTTTCCGCCCGGAATGTGATAATGTACTTGTGTCAATTAACCGTTTGAGTGTCACTGACCTTAGCAAAAGGTCGAAAAGTGCCAATACGCGATCGCGCTTCTTTCGTTTCAGTTCAGAAACTTAACGACGCTTTTCTATTTTTATATAAAAAAATTGTAAACAGCGCGATTGTTTCAATTTTCCATTTATAAGTAGGTTAAAGCAAAAATAAAAATAAGTTATTAAAAGGAAGACGAACGAACCATCGCGCCGCACTCAAACGGTCAACCCTTTGCACTTTTGACGAGATATAGGTGACATTGTTTGAATCTAATTTAATAATTCACGGATAAATTAAGCAACAAAGGTGTTTTATGTCAATATTCCACGTAACGATGCGAAGTTTCATTTGAAATATTAAACATTCAACTTTATAGTTGAATATTAACGAAACACTTCCGAGTGCAAAGGGTTAATTAGAGAGATTTATCGTCTACCGACTCGAACGCCAATTTTTCCAAGTGTAACCGTCGGTAGCCTAGTTCGACGACCATCGACGAAGCTGGATTGGCTCGAGCGCGAAAACGAACGAGCAGTTGGAAAGTAAATTTAAATACCGCACACGTACTTCACGTGTAAACTCAATTAACCCCGGCGTGTTCGTTTAGCCACGCTGCGGTTGTAATATAAATGTTTATCAAAACGCCGGTGCCGAGCGGAGGTGTGCGCGTCCGTGCGTGTGGACGAGCCGCGAGCGCGCGGGAGAAGTAAAAATCCATTAGAGCGTTTTAAACGGAGCGGACACGCGCTCTAGCTCGCAATTTGCGGAGATACACGGACAGAGCCGGCGCGCCATTCTTTTCGCGTTTGTTTAATCAACGGAATTTAATAACGACAGCGAATTGGCCCGGCGATAAACCCGAATATGCTGTAACACGCTGTCGCGGATATTTTGTAATTGGACCGTGGAACTTGATACCGTTCACCGCGCACTAGATGTTTTTCCGAAATATAAACTACGGGCTCCGCTGAAATCCGGCGCAATTTAAATTTCGATTCGCGCGCATTATCGCTGCGCGGGATTAACGTTCGTTTCAATCGTCGGTTCCAACGTGTCGACGAAGACATTGAAAATTCCGTGGTGGACGTGGAATGCAGAAAATGAAAATTAACAGGAAGATTCATTAGATCAAATTTCCAGTTGATTCTGCGTTCCATTACGCTGCCTTAGATGATTAATAACGTACATTTGCGCGAAGGTCCGCTGTCTAATCATAGTGCGAAACAGAAATCGAATGGAGAAGAATGAATCGAAATTTTCATGGATCTCAGTGTCAAAGAGATCGCAAACGAATAATCGGTTCGATCTATTAACCCTTTGAGAGTGACTCAGTCACCACTCGATTGGTGCATCGAAATTGTAAAATTCAATATTTAACGTTAAGTCTTGAGTAATCTGTCGATACGTGAAACGGGGAAATAAAATGCCATTGTTCCCCTTATTTTGTGAATAGATTCCCCGTTAAGTTAGTTGAAAAAAATGTCATCTATATCTCATAGGAAAGTGTTGAATATTTCTAGTGAAAAACTTCCAAGTGCAAAGGGTTAATATCAGAAGTGTCGCAACATCGTAGCCCACAGAGTTCAAAGAAATTAAATTTTGCAATAGACAAACGGAGGCGCCGGTGCAAAATTGGCAGCCAACAGCCTCGCAGTTCCAAAAATTACGTACTGGGTATGTCTTGATGGCCATACCCCGCCGTCACGCCGCTTAGGACGTGCCGACGCGCTATTAAAGTAGCGAGCACCCTTTTTAAACCGCCTCTTGCTCGCGCCGGCCTTTAGTAACATTTCCCGCTCACGATTGACAGCGAGAATCTTTTCAGGCTACGAGCCACCTGCCGTTGGACCAACGAACTAAACCACTGACGCAGCGCGGGATTCTCCCGATGACTTCGAAAAGACAATGAACCGACTACGAAACAATCCTCGGAATTCGGACAAACTTTTGAAGGTAACGAATATTTCTCGATTATCCGGAGGCTGGTCACGGTCGATGAAACATTTTAATCGCGAATCATCCATAGCGGTGATTCGATTCCAGCATTTTCCGATGACGCGCCGAGGAAATTTCGCGGCCTGACGTGGATATCGGTTTTCGGGCGGAGGGGGTGGGTCGCTCCACTCGGACGAGTGTATTGTAATCCGGTTAATTAAAACTTGAATAAAGATATTTGTGTCCGCGAGGGGAGGGTCTCCATTATCGCCGGACAGGCCGGGAGTCCTCGTCGAACTTGCTCGGCGGAACGATGATTAAAGGGGGAAGTAATCCCCGCGGAGAATTAAAACCGGCGTCTTCCCCCGCCCCGCCCCGCCGCCCGTTGTTTTACGTTTCGTCGGGACGGGGAACTCCCGAGCAAATACCGGCGCGCTGAATCATTGATTAAACAGTCCACTTATGAATTTATTATCGCCGGCTCCGTCTTGCAACGAGCTCACCCCGCGGGGGGCGGGGCGCCTCGACGCGGAGCGGGTCGGCTGACGAGGAAAAGAATGTTTGTTCTTCGCCGGGTCAAATATTGATACGGTTCCTCGTTCAAGGTGCACCTTTATTAAACCTAGATCGTCTATTGGGAGATATGAACCCTCTTGTTTCAGCGCGTTAATCTGTGAATTCTTTGTTTGCGGTGTTTGCGCTTGGTAGCTCATTCGGTGTTACCGTTGCAGGATCAAAGGACTGATTGAATGATGGATGAAACGAATCTCAGAGACGATGGAGATGAGTAGAATTGTGGGGCCGGTGAAGTTAAACCGAAATGACTGGTGAGAATACGGCTCTCGACACAGGTTGACGAAGGTCGCGGAGGTTCGTGATGACGTCGGTCGCGTGTAGAATGAGGGCTCCTAAACTGTCGTCGGAAAGTATATACCCGTCTGGTGGAAGACGGAGAGATGGGAAAGTTGGGGAAGATCGAGAAAGAGAGGAAAGATCCAAGAGAGAGAAGAAAATCGAGAAAGAGAGAAAAGATCCAAGAGAGAGAAGAAAATCGAGAAAGAGAGAAAAGCTCCAAAAGACAGAGAAGAAGATTGTTGTATTAAAATAGTCCTTACAACTCTTTATTTCAATTTGTTAAATAACTTTTATTAACTTCTCTCTCTCACTAACCACTCGTCGTTCGTTCATTCGTGAATCCTTTTTATATACATGCATTCTCTCTCTCTCTCATCCACACTCACATTCGCTCGGCCATGCACTCACTCAGGCGCGCTAATTTTGAACGGTCCTACAAGAAGGATAATGGTGATGAGACAAGTAAACAGGAGTGTTGTAAAAAAGGTGAAAGTCTCCAGGTCTCCAGCTCAAAGTCAAATGTGCGATGACACGAAACGGACTCGCGCGGAAGAACAGTGTCAACGGTAAAAAAATAGCCAGGAGAATCCAGTGTCGCAGGGCAGCTTTTCGGTCGCCACAGAATAAACGACGATTTCGCTTCCGTGTCCGTGTACGGAAGAATTGCGAGCGGATGGGATTAAGTCTAGCTAAACCAGGCGAGTTTATCGCGGACAGGTTGCCCGCGAACGTGAGGGGAATCCCGATTTCTCGCGGCCGGAAGTGAAGGCCGTATCTCGGGGACGAATCGCCGGCCGGGGATTTCAGGGGTGTGTACACCGCGGCCACGTTTTTCAATTACGCTCGCGTGACGGCGCGCGGTTAATCAGCCGCGGAGATTCGTCTTACCTGAAGGTACGGGACGGCCTTGCAGAGGGTGAGGCCCAGGAACCATGTCTCGGTGATGTCCCAGAGCACGGTGAACGGAAGGCAGAGCAGCAGCACCAGGAAATCGGCGACCGCCAGGTTCACGATGAAGTAGTTCGTGACGGTCCTCATCGTGTGGTTCCTGTACACGGCGATGCAGACCAGCGCGTTGCCGACCAGCCCGGTCACGAAGATGACGGAGTGCGAGGCGATCAGCACCCAGTCCCAGAACTTCGGGAATATGTAGTTCATCATGCGGTCCACGTAATCCTCGTTCGAGATGCAGTAGTAGTTCGTGCAGTTCGTGGCGTTGTAGTCCGAGTCCGCGTAGTCGACCGACGAGTAGTCGTCGTAGTCGACGGCGCTCATCATGGACACCGCGGAGATCAGCCAGGTAACGATCGTCAGTCTACACCGCGTCAGAATCATGATGTCGAGACTACACCTGTGTATTCGTAGGAAAGAAGATCCAGCCGCGAGTGTAGTTCAAGGACCTCTACAGCTATTCCGCGCCATTTTGCGGAACTTGCGAAGCCTGTCGACGGGCCGGGGAAGATATTCTACGGAAACGTTGACCCGGTCGATCTCTTTCCCGGTTGACGTTCACTTCGCTCCAATTTCCATCGCATTAAAGGTAATTCCCCTCGTCTAGCCGCGGCTCTTCCTTCGCCGCCTCTCGCGTCGCGCGGCGCGACAGCGTCCGGAGATCATCGGCCCGCCGGACGATCGGCAGAGGAAGATGGAGGATCGGATGTCGTTTATCTTTGAAAACCGAGGACGGCTGGGATGACCAAAAAAAGTTTCGGTTCGTGTGACGATTCGCCAAGTGTCGCCGGGCTAACGAACTTTCTCCGAGGAACGGGAAGACGAGTGCCAGCTGGGTAATTATTCGCGATTTAGGTCGAGTTTTCTCGCTTTCCGTCCGCCGGTGCCCTCCGCAGCTGAGACGTCCTCCGCCGCCTGCCGCCGCCGCCTCTGGCCGACGATAAATTCGCTATTGGACCCATACACCGGAAAAGTTCCGTTTTTATTTTGTCTCCTCCTCCGAGCGAGGAGCGAGACAGACCGAGGGAAGCGGAGAGAAATCAATGTGGAGCGCCGGAAAAACCGAAAGTAACTCTCCCAGGGAAACGTTTTATCTCGCCCCGCTATTCTCCGCGAGGAAACTTTTGTCCCATGGTCCTGACTCTTGCGCGGACCGATTCCGTCTTTTTGTCTCACTCGCCGCCGGAGAACATGGACGGGAATCGTATCACCGAAACCGTCCGAGGAATCGGCGAATTGGATTCCAGTGGAGGTAATATTGGGCGGCCAAGGAAGATCGCGTTTTCGGGATAATTATTGGGAAAAGGTGTTGTTTAACATTAGGTTTACGGGCATTTATTGTACGCTTTGTTCTATTAGTCCTAGAAGAATTGATGCTCGTTTATTTAGATTGTGGGAAGTGGAGATTTGATAGTAGGTAATTGGGGTACATGTCAGTGTGATCTCAATCAAAATTGGCGTGAACATTTACGAAATAATATTTCTAAAATCCAATATGCGTCAATTTGACGCGTTCCGTGAACCTAGTGTTAATGATATGACCACCTTTGACACTAGAACTACCAGTTAAAATGAGTGATTGATTGTTTCGCAATTGGTCTTGACACTTAGGCGACATAGAAAGAACTATACTACAACCTTCTCTATTATCTTCAATTATACTCATTCAATTAATTCAGTTAGAAACTATGTTTTGTAGAAACGAGAACCGTATTTGATGAATTGCAAATAATCCGACGTCAAGACTTACTAAATAACAAAGGAAAAGATGAACAGAGTAAAAGGCGATACGTTGCTGAATGAAAAGCGGCTGATCTCTCCATTCCGTTGGCTAACTGTTAACAGTAGACTATACTATAGATCTTGAAAATGAAGAGTTTCAGTTGAGTACTATGAAGAAGAAACCAAGAATAATCTAAGATTACAATATTTATAGAGATTAACACACTATCGGCGAGAAGGGTATTAACACCTTTTATGCAGAACGTACGCCAAGTGTCAGTAAAACACTCACCAATGCTTGTTTTTTCATTGTCACTAACTTTTGGGCAGGAAAGCTTGACCAGAGTTTAGTCCTAAATTTATTAATTTTTAAGGAAAAAACTAATTTTCGCCCGCTATACGTGTAAGTCAAGCTCATGATACTCCGATAGTGTGTTAAATCGGTAGTTCTAGTGTTAAAGTACATTACAATTTCAATTTTCCCCGACTAAGTACAGGTTGGTTTCTTTATAAAGGTATTCCTGGACATCGACACGGATTTCACTGGTCACCTAACGTTAGAACGGACCGTTTCGGACCGATCGGCCGGCGTGGACGCGGAATCTGCGGCGGCCTCCGAAATAACCACCGGCACGGTTGAAGTGCCGTTAATGGGCTGCCAGGTCCATTCAGCCGAGAACACTCGAGAGAAATGAGACGCCTTTCTTTTCATTACGACGCTCGAACAACGTTTCTTTGTTGAACGGGTTCGCTGTCATCGGCGCTCGACGCTCTAATTAATCAGAGCTGATTTCCCGTCGTATTAATGGAACCGCCATGCCGGCGCACGCGTATTAACATGAATAACATTTGAAACGTTGATCAGATAATTGCGACAAGATCAGCCCGTGAAACATGATTATACCGTTTAATGCGATTCCCCTGTCGAACGACGGCCGGAATAAACCACCGATCGAACGTAATAACCGTGATATCGTTGATCGGACGAGAATTCGTATCGAGAGTTAAAATTGTACATTACGAGGCAAAGCGTGCGGAATTTACAACGGCAGCTAAGCATCTCGACGTCACGCGTCGCGAGCCTAGCTCGTAATCCCGGCCGAGTTAGAGTCCTGATTTTATTGTGACGATTCCAAGCGCCGCTTTCGTCCCGACGAATCCTCGCTCGTTTCAATGCGCGGAGCCTCGTCGCTGCGGCGAACGTTCCGAATTATTCACGACTGCCCTCGGAGTTCTTCAAACATCCCTTTGCTATGAAATAAGGACGCGAACCGCTGCACGGGTTGGCCGGACAAATTGCATCCTCGTAATCCGTCGCGTTTCAGCCGTGGTCGTTCGCGAAAAGTGCCCCGACTCTTCTGACCGTGGTATTATATTTCAGAGACAAGGACTCATGGATTCCCGAAGCTGGAATTCGAGCGGAAAAAAATCAGGGAAAGAGGACGCGATCAGCGTAAGGAAACAATGCGGCGAATAAATATTCATTGCTTCCGGCGGACACGGCTGGTATTAATTTACATATCGTTTCCAGGATACGCGGCGGAAAATCTATTTGACCGGAAGCCCGCGCGCCCCTGTGTACGGATACGAGAAACCCATTAGCGTGACTGCGCCCGCGGTAAAACGAGCAGCGGAGCACTCGATTCGCCCGCCTGTAATGAGAGGCATTAACCGTTAGAAATATCCCGCTCGAAGGATCGATCGGCCGCCAAGGAGGATCCAGGCCGCCGGAAACGGGAAGGGTCGGCTAAACCTCGTTCCTCCGGAGCGTAGCGTCGGGGAACGCGGCCGGTTTAAATGAACCGTCGCGCCGGGACGCATAATCCTATTGCAGTTCTAATTGTCCCGGTTAGAAGTTAACGTGTAGCGTTACGACGCGACGCGGCACGGAGTTTACCGGCTCCCCCCCGCTAATGGAATTACACACCGTCGATTAATTGATCGTATCGCCGCGCAGTTTCTTCGGGAATCGTTCGACGACGGTAATGAGCACGGAGCTACGCACAATGGACGGACCGTTTTCTTCCTTTATGCGAGATCTCTTTTGTTCGCCGCTGTCGATTTCCGCCTGGCCGTCTTTGACAGATGGAGGTCTAACACGTCCACTGCTTCGCCGATGACTTTCCGATTGATCGGGAGTGTAATGGTAATTATTGCAGCAAGGTGATCGAAGTGAGCAGGTGATGGTAACGTGAGAACTGTATGGAGGAAGTAACCTTTAACCCCTTGCCTTAGAATAATGTGTTAGACTCGTGGCGAAGATTTTAAACAGAATGCGCACGAATGTTAATTCTTATGAGTTAAAATTAGATATTATTCTTTTGTTACCAATTATTACACTTTATAGTGAAGATTGATATAGAATATGCTTATCATTTTATTCTTTTTCTTAATAGTTATTAATGTCGAAGTAGTTGTATCGATCATAATTGAGAAATAAATCGTAGGGCAAGGAGTTAACGGACCGACGCCGCGTACACGGTAGAAATCATTTTATTTTTGTCACTGTTATTGTATTATTTACACGTTAACACTAGGTTTACGGGTCAAATTGACGCATATTGAATTTTAGAAATATTATTTCGTAAATGTTCACGCCGATTTTCATTGAGATCACACTGACATGTAGCCCAATTACCTACTAATCTCCAGTTTCCACAATCTAAATAAACGAGCATCTTTTAGGAATAATAGAATCAAGTGTACAATAAATGTAAACCTAGTGTTAAGCATCGTCGCATGTAACTTCCGTGAATTTGTTTTCGCTCGTTCCCGGTCACAGTAGTTTCCAACGGTGAGTAAACTCGAGGCACTTCCGGCCGGTTAACGGTTAACCGTCCGACTATTTTCCTTCGCCGCGGAAAAATGAGTGACATAAAAAGCTGAAGATCCTCGCGGCGGTGGACGTGTTAATGACAAAAAGACCCTTAGTTATTCTATTAATCTCGAGCGTTTTTCCAGCGTGTTGGCGTTGCCTCTGACAGAGAAGCGGCGCGGCCAATTCATCAGCAAGTTGTCACGACCGTTCCCTAGCCGCCCGCCATTTTGAAGTGTTCCCGATATATCTGCGGCTGTTGCGGCAAACAGGCCTCGTATTTTCACTTTCGACGTATGACGGTTTGATATATTCCGTACTCTTATCTCGGGAGAAACGATTCAACACGTTAAGCGCCACGGAAATCTTAAGCGTTCTCCCATAGAGTTTGTCTTTCGCAGCAAAGAAACGTAGGAATAATTATGAATTGTTCGGCGTTGCAACGATTGCGTTACACTATCAACTTAGTCGCCTTATTAAACATTCTCATTTCACATCGGTTGTCTTGTACGTTACGATTGTCTTTTAGTCATTCAGAAGCGTCGGTCACCGGTGACTGACATGGCGCTTAACGTGTTAACAGGTTCGCTACCATTACATAATGATAATGAAATGAATCCTATATTATTAGAAATGATAAACTACATTACAGGAACTCGATGACTCAGTTTCATCTTTATAATATTCTGTTTAGATTTACTGGATCGAACGAATCGCGCTCCCCTTTTCTGCTCGTCGCTGGCAGCCGGATCGAGATCGGTATCGTCGTTTTTTCTGGAAACTGTGACTGACGTTATTTCGTCTTACAGCCGCGGATATTTCCAAAGGGGCGTTTCATGCGTGCCACCGGCGATCCCGTTAAATTGACTTCCCACCCCCCCGCGGGTTCTCCTCCGGCGTTTCCTTCGACGAGATTACACAGCGGTTCGCAGCGATTTATCGACTCGATCTCCGCTCGGAATCGGACATTAACTGCAGCCTCTTCGCCCGTAAACACCGGACGTCTGGAATATTTTAATACTAACCCGTATTCGGTACCCGGGGAACACGCCCTTTGACCTTCCGATAATAGAGTTTCCTACCCACCGCAACCTATTGTTCTTTCAGATAACTGCGAGTAAACGAGGACCTCGACAATCACCAATGGAACTCTCGAACGTGGACGGAAATAGAGGACGAATTCATTGCCACGCGCGGTCTTCGACTTTTAAATTTCCAATGTCAACAACGACGCGTCGCTTGAGAATCCAGCAATTAACAGTTTTACAATTATAACAGTGACGTTGTAATTGTAACACTGTTATTATTAACACTTTGACTGCCACGTCACCCAAATTTGGGTGACACTGTTCTTCAAGTGAACTTGAATGTGAACTTTCTTGGTAACGCGTCGAACGAACCGAATTTTGTTAGATGTACGAAATACAAGGAAGATAGTAGAGCAATTATTACCAAGAATCTTGACCTTTTAGTTTCTACTTAAGCAAGAACACTGTTTCGAGTGCATGGGAGTTTCGAGTGTTCACTCGGCAGTCAAAGGGTTAAAGGAGCTCCAAGGGCGCGACGAATTTTTCGCGTTTTACCGGTGCGTCCGCAAAAAGTCACTCGTTACACGACTCGTCAGCGCCGCGGTCGCATCTGCGGGCTATTCTGGCACACGTTCGCCTGGAAACATTAGTCGCTGGACCGTAAAAGTCTCGGCCACGAAATATCGGTCCTGGGGAAATCAAATAAAAAAAGGCGGCAAACGAACGGCTTTTAAAAGCGAAAATATTTGCTGGCGGACGACGTAAATCCGCCTCCGCCGTTAAAGAAGCACATACGGCCGAGGACTCGGTACGGCCGCGAATTTCTACGTCAATTTCAGCTTTACGTCGCGCCGCGTGCGTCTCCGAAAATAATTGATCGCGTCACGCGGCTTCGCGAGGAAACTACTCGCAGGGTTTTTTTAATGTCGACCGACGCGGAACGCGCGAGCTAACGCGCGCAAGCGAGGCTCCGGACATTAGCTTCTAACGCTTTGTTCTCGTTGGAAGCGATGTTCAACTTTAACGGCAGGTTTAAGTTAAAAAACTGCCGTTGAGTCGATTAGGTCCGGGAAGCTAAAAATAGGCGATTAGGATTCAGTGGTAGATGTGCTATCTGCTAAGTAATGTTTGTAAAATTGGATGCACATCGAATTGACGCGTTCCATGGCTGTTTTGCGCTAAGACCGAGAGGAACATCGAGATGCCGTAGGATCAGCTGAGAAAAATTTAATTTCACGGATGTTTCGACGGTTCGAAGGACGTTCGATGTCAGTGTTGCTCGAGGGACGTGTCCCTGTGCGCAACGGTTCCAATTTGACGGCGTGTTTCCGGGTCTCGGCGATACGCGCCTTTCTCGTCCGTGTGTGCCGTGAATCTGTCGGCTTTGCGTCAACTCCCGGGACAACCGCCGCGGTCCGACTCAATCCTTTCCGCAGGAACTTTTAACTTGCGTCTTACGCGTCGTTTCCGGCTGACAGCGGAGAACCGCAGAACTCGACTACTCGCGTAACGAAAATTGAAGGCTACGTGCTGCTAAGTAGTCTCTCTGTACAAAATGATTTTCATTTCGAACATAACAATTTGGCGTCGAAACGTAAATCTATTGTTATTGAAAATACTTCATAATGTCCCCATAATGTGAAAAGTATGACTGCCATATCTTTAACTCTGTACTTTGCAACTTGAAGTATTTTATTTGTATCACTCAGACTTTGTAACCCTTTGCACTCGGAAGCTTTTCACTAGAAATGAGACATAGACATTATTTGAGAGCAACTAATGGAAGCATACGTGAATTAAGAAGTAAAGCTATTTTATAGAAATATTTCACTCGTCGATGCGTTATACAAAACTGAATATTATATTTACTTTGTAATACGGTGACAGAGTCACCTCTCGAGTGCAAAGGATCAAGGTACCGAATTCAGTCTAGAAAACGGCTGTCTGGTCGCACTGTGAAGAACTGTTCCGAAGAGCAGCCAACAGTCAGAAGACGCGATCTCACGGTTTCCACGAAAACCGAGTCCTATAACTTATTAAAATTGGAGGACCTCTTTCGATCTCCTCCGCGTCGAACGCGAGACGAGTGGATCGAGCCCTCTCAAATTAAGATCACGAGATCCTGCGCTCCGGGAAATTTCGTAGAAGATCAAACCGAGCTCGGGAAGGTCGGGACTTCTACTAATTCGCCACGCTGAGTCCCTCGGGATGGCGATTCCAACGGCGATAAGCAAGTGGCGACTAAGTTCTTTTAATTATTCGAAGGAAAAGTCGGTCGCCGGTTATCCGCGCGCGAATCATCGATACCCGCGCTCTTCGGGGCACGCATACACCCCCGGATGCTCCGCTCGCGCCGACAATAGAGCGGGGAACTTTTTTAACGAAGTACGGAGTTCTCGAATTGCCTTAGGATTTTATCCCCCGGAGACGGCGGAAGTAGTTCGCGAAACTATGGAGCACTATGGACAGCTGGCGGGGTCCAATAAGCTCGTATCGGCGACTCGGAACTTCGAACCGGGAGGACAACATCGCGCGACATTTCGTTTCCAGCTTATCGCAAACGGACGCGCGAACTCGTTGGAAAACGCTCGTGCCCGACGTTGACGCGAGGACCGCTGACATTTGAAACTTTCCGCGAACGCTTAGCATATCGTGAACGTTCCCTCTAGCTTCCCGTTATTGGATCATCGTGCGCCCGGACAGGGACAACCGGGTATCGAGACGAGTCCCGAAACTCGGTCGCACAGGTGCGAATAAGCGCCGGTCCGAATTCAATTTCGAGTCCATCGCTTCCGCTGTCCAACCGACACCGGGAAACTCTTCCCGCGGCAAAGGCGATCGCATTAGAAGTGCCATCGCGTGTACGAGCCTCGTTGCATGGCTAACTACACGATAAGAATTCCGTGAGCACCGTCTTGTTTCGCGCCCGGTATCAACCTACAGTTCCTGCGAACTCAATCGCACTTTTCTACGCTTACGAGCTTCCAAAATAATGCAGCTTCCTCTACAATCGACTCCTGCGATGGATCTACACTTACGAGCTTCCAGAGGAATGTAGCTTCCTCTACAATCGACTCCTGCGATGGATCTTTTCTACACTTACGAGCTTCCAGAATAATGTAGCTTCCTCTACAATCGACTCCTGCGATGGATCTACACTTACGAGCTTCTAGAGCACTGTAGCTTCCTCTACAATCGACTCCTGCGATGGATCTTTCAGCCCCTTCGAGTACGATTTATTCGCAAGCTACACGGTTAATTAACAAACCTGCTACAGTGTCCTAGTCGAAACAGAATTCTCAACTCCACCGATTCTCACGAGTTCGTCACTCACGTTCGCACTTCTCTCCGTACACGAGTGTTCGCCTCTTCTCTTCGTTACAGGGACCGGTAGCGACGTTCCCACGCGAACTTCCCCGTTTTTCACGCAGGATCTTTTCACGAAGGAGACGAACGATAAACGGTGAGTTCACTTCGATCGAACGACGCGGAACTTTCTGCGTTGTTTAATGTTTCCGGGATTGTCTTTTAGCGGAGACACCGGGAGGAGACGCGCGCCGCGTTGCTCGGCCGAGCGTGGTCGGAGGCGGACTTTGGAGGTGTCGCGGCGCGTTCCGTCGCGTCGACGTGAAACGGCTGGTCCCGGGTGCGGGAAAGGGATGCGGCCGCGGCGACGGACTCTGCGAAACTGAGGTATGTACGTCGTTTTAACGAGCGCGTAGGTGCAGCGGCTCGTCGGCCGGTCACCGAGGTCGCGGCTCGGCTTCCGAGGCTTCACGGTTCCCGATCGACTGCTCGGAGGAAAAGGGAACCTGTTGATAAATTTCGCACCGGGACACGTCCGTTGCTGTGAAAAATTCACCGAGGGAGGGGGCGATCCCAGCGTGCACTGCGTCGGTGCTCGTCCCTTCCATCCCCTTCGCGCCACTGTGCCTTTTAACACTTTGAACGCCGCACGACTTCATAAAGGGAAACACAGAAAATGGAGAAAGTATAATGTTAAATCATTTAGTCGAATTGCACTACTATTCCACATTCATCTGGCTGGATGTCAGCATATTAGATAACATTATTTGTAATATAGAAATATCTTCATATAATCATCGTTTAATTGAGTGAATAGTAATTCGATTTGGTCGAGGCTCACCGGTGACCCCCGGCATTCAACGTGTTAATACGCTTAGTATGTAAACTTGATAAAAATTGTAAGAATAGTGATCACTTACTCGGTGTCAATCGTCTTATATATTGCAATTGTTTTCAAGCGATTCGGTGGACGTCGATTACCACGATAGTCAACGCGCTAACAGAAAGTCGCCGTATATCGAGAGAAGAGCGTTCGATCCCTCGGCATCCGGAGGATAAGCTTAACCCTTAGCAGTCCTATGTCGACACTCGACATTCTATTTTATTGCAACCTCTACCTTTAACAATTTTTTCTATATTTCTTTGTATCACAATTGTACCATTTAAAGGTAACACTTCAGTGACTCCCAAATATTCTCGAATAAATAAACAGAGCGTCATATTAAAACTTTGACTGCCACGTCACCCAAATTTGGGTGACACTATTCTTCACGTAAACTTGAATATGAACTTTCTTGGTAACGTGTCGAACGAACCGAATTTTGTTGGATATACGAGATACAAGAAAGATAGTGGAGCAGTTATTAAGAAGAATCTTGATTCCTTAGTCTCTTAATGAAGAAAACTGTTTCGAGTACACGGGGGTTTCGATGAACGTTTACGTGGCAGTCAAAGTGTTAAGCTGTAACCGAATGAACTAACGTCGACGTGAACCTCAAACTGAGAAATCAAGAGCACTTCGCCTAAACCACGTTTGCATACACACACGGAGCGAACGATAGGTCCCTACGAGAGGATAAAAAGACAAGCCCGTTGGAAAACATTGGCTCTCTTTATTATTCGGCAGATCGTTCCTATACGATTTACATGAAAATTTCAAAAGGCAGCTTCGAATGCGACTCTGGGGCTCGAACCCGACGCTCGTCCCTCGGAACGGGCCATAACAACGACGGTCGACGTCGCGAAGCACGGCCCTATCCGTCAATAAATTTCCGCGCTCCAAATTAAATTCCGGTCCCATTTTTTTACGAGCGGTCGCGGACTCGCGATTTCCACCGGAGCAACAACGTTACTCGAACAACATCGGCGACGCTCGTCGCGCTGTTCGCGATTGAAATTCAACGAAATGGCCGCGAGTATTTCCGTCGAAGCCCCGAGATCCTTTGTCCGCGTCGAACAGAAAGAACACGTTGGTCGCAGCGGAAATGGCGTTGCTCGGGATCTCTCGTCTTGGATCGATGGAAAAATCCCGAGCTCGCGGAGGAACCACCGAAATCCGTCGGAAATAAAACGATTCCTCGGGAGGGTATTAAATTCCGCCGGGAAATACCTTTCACCGGCCGCGGTCGACGCGTGCGTTTCTCACCCCGGACCGCCGGAAGTTCGCACGGATTTTCCCACGTTCCATCGCGTCATCTTCCGCGTTCATTTATCACTTTCCCCGGCGATAAACCTATTCGAAGTCAATCCCGGCGTGCCCCGCGTCGGAAAAGTCGAGCTTTCCGGTTCACGTGCTCCTGCCTCGGAACGCGAATGCGTCTTTTCGGATATTGATCTTCGGCGGCGGGAAAACTGCGGTTTGGTTAGCGGCGAATCGATGAATGACTTCGATCGGTGTTTCAGTAGTGAATGAAATTGGAGGCTGCAGTGTTTACGGTGTTGAAGGGAGGAAGATTGTTTTATGACCTTCTCTGTTTAAATTTTCTATTGAGAGTATTGACGAGTTTGTTCATTTGTGAGGAGTTTCGATGAAGCATTGTAGACCAAGGAACCGTTTCTTTATGTGTTGGATACGTAGAATGCAGGTTTTTGATTTGTGTTGTCTAACACTTTGACTGCCACTCGAATTCGGGTGACATTTTATAGAAACGTGGGCATTCATTTTTTTCGTGACGTATCGAACGAACCGAATTTTGTTGGATGTATGAGATAGAAAGATGGAGCAGTTATTAAGAATCTTGATTTCTCAGTTTCTGGTTAATGGAGAAGACTGTTTCGAGTACGTGGGAGTTCTGATGAGTGTTTACGTGTTAAATGGAACGTAAAATTAATGAATCGAGGATTCAATGTTCTTGTAATTTTTAGAGTAAGATCCAGAATGGTCAATTCTATTTCCGGATAGTTTTAGCGTTAGTTTATTTGCTTCGCTTGCGTAATAGATTCTTTTCTTGGAAGTATTCTTTTGTTAGCGAAGCGTTAACGTCGCGAGTTACTGTAATGGCATAAATTCCAGTAGGTATTCGGAAACAAAGCACGTTTTGGTCTCTTCTTTATGCAGTCCGCTTCAAAGCTGGAAGGAATCACGTGGACATCGTGTTTCCGTCAATAGCAAATTCCCTATGCATTTTGCGCGACGAAACTGCAAGTGAGTTTCAAGGAAGTTTATCACTTTTATTTGTGCTTCTTTAGAAAGAGTAGTTAGAACCGTTGCTCGGGATCTGCCTCCGAAAATCGAATGCAAACTTCGCTAAACAGATCGAAGTGTTTTAAATTCAACGCGAGAAGCACCGAGCAATTGCGACTAATTTAAAGTCCCTTCTAAAACGCGAAGGGAACATTTCTTGAGTTAAAGAACTCTTTATCGTATCCACGCGAACACACGAATGTACCGTCCGACGATTTTCTGCAATTTCTTACGGAAACATTGTCAGAAGTTTAACCCTTCGCGGACGAATGTCGTGTTTTGCCGAGATCAAACTTCGAATTGCGAACAAATGATTTAACCCTTCGCACTCCAGGTTGTTTTGTAACCTATCAGCAACTGCAGCTAATTTTTATAGTATTCTTAGCGAAAATGAATGCTGTAACACTTCTTCGGTCTATTTTCCTTAGTACAAAATTTGGATGTGTGGAAAATCTAATAATTTCAGGGTAGTTTCCTTAAGATTCAAATATTTAATATTATAACTGGTGCAATATTGGAGCCTACAGAGTGCAAAGGGTTAATTAAGCAATTAATATACAATTTATCTATTTCCATATTTCTAACCCTTAGCACTCTAGATGGTTTTGTTTTAATTTTTATAGTATCCTACAAATATTCTCATCAGTATTCCTGAACTCACAAAATTTGGATGTGTGGAGAATCTAATAATTTTGTAGTTTCTTTAAGATTCAAATATTTAATATTATAACTGGTGCAATATTGGAGCCTACAGAGTGCAAATGATTTAATAACTCAATTAGCCGGGAATCACTACATAGCTTCCATTTCCTCTATTATTCAAGCGTCCAACACATAATTTCGTAGAATCTGCTAAAAGTTCCGTACACTTTCAAGGATCTTCGTCCACAAAGGTTCGACAATCCCACGAACGTCGATAAACAAAGTCCCGGCGAGGCGTCGCCCGAAAGAAAGCAACCCCTTTCAATCGGAGAACGTCGGCGACAGAGCTGAAACGCGAGGCGCGAGTTTTCGTCGCCGGAGTATCTGCCGGGGGATCTTATTTGCTCGAAACTAACGCTCGCCGTGATTATACGTCCGCGAACGAAATATAAACGCGAAACGAAGCGGCCGATCGATCCCGCCGCTCCTCCGCAGACGGCGGCGACGTTTAGATCGCTCTAAGCGCGGAACACCGGCGGAGAAGTAGCGCGTCCCATGATTGATGGGATCAAAGCAAACGGCGGGCTCGCTAATGTGTGCCAGTTTTGTCTGAACACGAGCGGCCGGCCGCGAGCTTAGCAATAAATTGAAACCGGAGGTCCGTTGTTTTTCCGGCACGGTTTTTTCCGCTTCCCGTCCGTCGAATAACAGCCGTGCGCGCGCCTTCCGGAACAATAACACGCCGCGTATTTTGGAAAACCGGGGACGAAACAAAATTTCGAACCGCGTGCGAACGTCGCTGATCGACGAGCTTCCATTCGATCCTCCAATCTGCTTTCCAATGAAACTCTGTGCACGTTGCGGTATATATTTAGCCCTCTGCACTCCGAACAATTTTTAACACTAGGTTTATTGTACAGTTTATTCTGTTGTTCCTAGAAAAGTGAATATTCGTTCGTTTAGATCTTGGAAATTGAAGTTGCTCTACAATAGACGATTAGGATAAGTATTCATGTCATTGCATCGATCAAAATCGACGTGAACACTTCGTAAATAGTATTTGTCAAATTCGACGTCGAATTGCAATTTCGTAAACTTAGTGTTAATATGACCTTTCAGCAACTCCGAGACGGTTTTAATATGAGCTATCAGCTACGACCGTGCCTCTGTAAAAGATTTGAGACTCTGCTTTGTCATTGAAAAAGCGCGTGTACATTTTAAAGTTACGTTTGACTGAAAATGAAGTTAGAAACTTGTCTTACAATGTCGCCGCAGTGACAACAGAGTGCAAAGGGTTAGAAATGAGACGTCCTCCGTTTTCGGAAAAGTCAGCTTCAACGCTGGAACTGCCAAGTCAAGTTGACTTTGCAAAATGTCTATAGAAACCCCAAGAGTGCTATCGAGACTTCCATCACTCGAAACTTAGTTTGCGTATTACTGAGACAATTCCTTTCGAAATTTCTTAGAGAAGGATCTATTGTTTCTTGAATAATTGTAAAAGAAGTATTTGGATATGGTTCATTTTGACCCATCCGGTAGTTCTAGCGTTAAGTTTGTACGTTAAGGTATCATCTATGTTTCATTGGGAAAGAATGTTTCCAGCGAAGAAACTTTCTCGTAAAGGGTTGATCATTTCGGATTTTCCTCGTATCTGGAATTGTACTTCAAGGAAGAACGAAAGTAACATTGGTGGTTGCTCTCGCCCCGTTTGAAAAGGGTTCCCTAATGACCCGAAGTTGCCGAGCTGGGATATTAGGTCGCGGCTGAATCGAAAGGTCTTTTTAAACCGTTGGTCGCTCGAAAATATTTCTTCGCCGGGCGTAATGAGTTGTGCAGACGAGAATACAAACGCTTCAGGTGGTTTATACCGCGGCGAGGGTGCCGGGCGTCGGCGGTGAACGCGAATGTAGGTCAGAACGTGTCTGGAACAGTTGTTTCCAGCGAGAGGAACCGGCGAAGTTACTTTTACGAGGACTCCGAGCGACAGTAAATTTTTACGAGAGTTACTCGACGGTTCACGCGACGGAATGCCTGCCGATGTGTTTCGTTCGCTTTCGCGTGTTAACTTTGCGGCGACCACTTAACCGGAACAAGGGAATTGTGAAATTTACTTTGCGAGGGAGCCCGGGACGGAGACAGGGAAAGATTTAATTAAATCCAACTTTAAAACGGAACGTAGGCTTTTTGGGAAATCAATAGCGCCAGCTGTTGTCCTGAAATATGGCTCGCGGTTTAACGCTAAACGCGAACGAATGAATTTATTTAACCGAAGAGTAACGTCGCGGTCGGATACGGGAGAGAACTGAAATTCCTCGTGACGACGGTGTTGTATAAAATTAATGTTCTTTTATTGCTAACGTACTTCGTCATATTTACATTTGAAAGAAGTTTCTAATTATCACAGTTGTAACAATATTATATATGTATGTATATATATATGTATGTTCTAACGATCAACAGGAGCTCGGATCGAAAAACTAATCAACGTGATTCTAACATCTCGCACGGACCTCCGTGCCGCGTGTGCACGCGTGTCTAGTATCGTACGCGTGCCCTTAGAACTTCTAAAAAAATAGTTTGAAAGAGGCAGAGAATAAATTTCTATCATTCGCTTAGAAAATACGTGATATACAACGATTAGGTACAACGAGGTCTCTCACAGTTTTGTACGATCTCTCGCGTCCGTTCCCTGTTAAAGACGATGAGGCACTTGATCAACACACAAATCATACAATTAGTCGGAAAGCATGTTTAGAAACAAATTCGAACGACGTGCTGCCCCCTGCGTTATACGAATTGCAACGGGACGATGCGCAGCGGAAACCGGAGCGTGTGTATGCGCGTAGATATTTCGGAACTTCGGTGATGATCATCGTTTCTCGTTCGATGGTTGCTGTGGTAATACCGTCTTGTGTGTAGCAACGACCCTAGAGGCGGAAATGTGGATGATGATCATCATTCCAATGTTTCTATAGGAATACACATCGATGCTATTTTCGGGGAGACAATTTTTTCCATTGTTCTCTTCCCAATTTACTAGATCGTCTTTTTTCAAATCTTTTAAGCGGACGATTCTGTTAGTTTGAAACTGTCTTTCGCTGCCTTCGAATCTTGGAAGTTTAGATCTATTACAAAGTTATAAAATATCCTTGGAAATGCAGTGGAACCTGCGTGATACTCGCCGACGCGATTATTGTGCGGCCGGCGAAGGGGCAGCGACAACACTGCCGTTAGAAGGTCTTGCCAGTAAGCTTTCGTTCTCCTCGTCTTTCATGTTGTTTCGTATAACGATGAAAACACCGGTGAACATGATTATAAAGCCAATGAAAGATATACCGAAGAAGGTTACAGCACCCAACGTTTTCAGGATTATAATGAACTTCACTGTACTGGCGTACTCGGGGCTTAAAGTGGCTTCTTGGGTGAACCATAGCATTGGTACGAATGTCCTACTGATGTTCTTGAACAATCTAAAAATAATATTTATTGAAACAAAAAGTTAATCGAGGCTCCGTGAATGTTTCTCCGTGCAAAAGTGACTCACCTCATATATGGATCAGGCTCGATCAACAAATTTAATTGTAGATTCGCACTGATTTTCAGCGGGACACCCGTTTCCTGTAAAAGATAAAAATAGATGCCGAACGTGATCTAATTATCAGTTACTTTATTCTTAACTCGAGATAATTACTGGTTCCAGGGATAACGTGAGTTGATGATTCTTTTCGGAGGGATTCATCCCTGTGATGCCTTCTGTATAACTTGGATCTGCCGTATAAAAATGCGGCAAACTAATGAACGCTGGTGCGTCCCATTTACACGACGAAATGTTCATTGCTCCGGAGGGTATAGATTTCCCTCTCTGATAATAACACTTCCTTGACTCTAGTTTCGTTCCATTATCAAAAATATTCTCGTCGTTGGTGTATGTTACACCCTGCAGACCTTCGTGGACTGTTGTTTTGTTTGACAGTTTTACTGACAAGCTCCTATTAAGATAGTTAACAGAGAGCATATTACTGACTGATGTACAATCTCCTTGATCCTTTTTATCTTTGGTGAAACATTGTACTTACGTGCAAATGTCGGATATGAAGAAAGTGACAGTTTCGTTATCTGGCAATGGAGGCCATAGATCTCCGTTTGTTCCTTTTACTTTTCCACAATCTCCATCATAGTAATTCACATTATCTTTGAAGTTCCATTCCCTGACAATTCCTAGGTCTAATATGTTGGATGCACCGGTATCCATATTGAATGTTCCATCATAACTTGCAGTTCCATTCCTCTGAGGGTGTTAGAGTATTAATTGAATATTTTTATGAAAGAAATTTAAGTTTTCCTGATTACTTCTTTTGCACGGTGATACTAAACCTAAACTTACCCCATAGAACCAAGCAAACTTATCCATTGGAATTTTTGTTAGGTTTGCTGCACGAACAAGTATTAACATTTCATCTTTGTAGCCTTCAAAGAGCAATTCGTTCACTGATTTGGTTATTACTAGATGTTCTCCCAGAATACGCATAACTCTATCGCCAATATCACGAAAAATTGGCCCTTTATCTCTCAATGTGTATGCAACACTCTATTAAAACAGTGTATGAATGAAATACGTTTTACTAGTACAAAAATTCAAAGTATACCATCTTGAAAAAATACCTACAGCAGCTATAGGGTTTATATTAGTCACTTGATCCGACAAACTACCTTTTGATGATGACTCATCGAAATGCCATACTCTTTTCCTTTGATATGTTATGGTATTATTTTCATCATTCCATGTCTGCTCCACCTTGTAATCAATTTCCCTATTACAACATATCACAGTTAACATCGGAAACAAAAACCACAGAGGTTAAGATAAACTTAATACCTGAATACGTAAGGACCCATCTCCTTAAAGTTTGGTTTTGTACCATCAGAAGAAGTTAATGCTTGAGGATTAGTTAGATTAAACATGTAAAGCTTTAAGTACATGGGAATCGGCGTTTCTTTCCATAAGTCATAATTTGAAGATGTTGGAGTTAAAGATAATTGCTACACAAATACAATATACAAATCAGTTGAATATTCCATGTGTTGTGGACAGTCTAAAGAAAGTGATATGCTTACCGTGCGTACGAGTGTAGAATAAATTGTGGACCAAACTATTCCTAGCGCTAATCCGAATATTGCTATTATCAGGCCCAATAATAATATAACAATCGTAATCTTGGACATGTGAAACATTTTTAATCGTTAATATTGACCTGAAAGTAAAACAAACAATGGAGTATCATTAAATATCCCTGACATTATTCTAATACATATTGAACTTAGCAAAAGTACATACTAATGGCTTTTGTTCATACTTAATACTGGCTTTCAGATAACTATTTTTATCAATACTATAACAATTCCATATAATCCGGTGACGATAACTTTGTTTTCGGAACAAACGTCACGTATTCCTTTGTTTATCATTACCTCCGTTCTAAATTCATTTTACATTATACTTCTTAACAGAATTCTCCAAGCATAAATGCTCACGAGTCTACTCAATATGAGTGAAACAAACGTGACAGTGGTTTCGCCATGATAAGCCAAAGTTCAACATTGTCCATGCTAATACATATGCATAAATAACTAATCGAATAAATAAAAAAGCAACAAAGTTACTGAGACGGTACACGAACGACGAGCTAACTCGCTCTCCTCCAATAATGGAGATCCACTAGAGCGCTTGTAAACACTGGTGTAATTAATGTATAACACTGCTGTTAATTAACTAATAAATAACCGCGATTCGGGAAACATCATAAATAATATAATTACTCCCATTTTCCCGTCGGAGGGCGATCAAAAGAAATGTATCTCTATAAATAGAAAACCAAAAATTCGTCTGATACAAAGTTGATCGACGCACTATACAGGTTGCATCCTCCGCGCATGTTCGTCGCGTAACCGCGAGCGTTCGAAGTTCGAGGAATCATTGTATTCCAATATTTCACATAACAATTCTCGTAAATGAATCACGTAATTCGCAGCTGACGATTATTACGGAGACTCGACGAGCTCGCGGAAGTCTTTAATTATATCTACACTATTGGAAAAAATTCAATTGTTATACAGTTTATTCTATTGTTCCTGGGGAAGTTGATATTCGTTCATTTAGATTCTGGAAATTGTTGACGTAGAAATCAATCAGGATTCATATTCGTGTAATTGGATCAACGAAAATTGAAACATTTACCAAATAATGTTTATAAAATTAAATCTGCGTCGAATTGACGCGTTCCGTAAACCTAGTGTTAACTCGTCTCGATCAACAGGTCAACGATTGAAGACATTTCAGCTGCCATAACATGATTCCGTCTGCCAACTATAAATTTCAAAATTATAATATAAATATAATATTCTTTAATATAAATTTCATACCGATCTCGACGAAAATATCCGAGAATGATATCCGAACGCGATAAAAATTACGTAAACGCCATCAGGAAATGCATTGCACAATCTCTCGTTTCGGAACAGAATGGATGAACCCGACGAAAACGAAAGAGGACGACTGATGACCTGCCATCACCTTCCGATTCCTCCAATCGAGTGACTTTCGTGCCACGAAGATCCACACAGATCTACTCGAATACAAATATAAATGTCCTCGCGCGACTTACGTCTCGAAGCACCGCAACTTCCTTTCAAGCCACGCGTTTCCAATTACCGTAGACTTGCGCTAATTTGCCGAGAAAGTGAAGGGAAATGATGCTTCCTTAACACTAGGTTCACGGAACGCGTCGATTCGACGCGGATTGAATTTTATAAACATCATTTGGTAAACGTTTCAATTTTCGTTGATCCAATTACACGAATATGAATCCTGATTGATTTCCACGTCTACAATTTCAAAAATCTAAATGAACGAACATCAACTTCCCCAGGAACAATAGAATAAACTACAATAAATGTCCGTAAATCTAGTGTTGAAACGATTCACGGATGAATCGAATGCTCAACGCGTTTCAGCAGGTTTATCGGAGCCTAGCTGCAGCGCACTGTGATAAAACACGAAACTTTCAGGATTAACGCTCGATTATCATCGAAGACCAACGTGAATCATATTTATCAGCTTATGTTAATCTCCGATAGTTCGCATTCAACACGTTCGCGAACGTGAAAATATAATATTCATGTCCATTGCGACGCGAAAAGACGCGAATGCTATAACATTGAAATTTATAAGCGACATTGTGAATTCAATTCTATATACCCTTAACTCTTTGAAATTATTTCGCACTTTGACCCTCGTACGGCATTTGCAATTCTCCCTTTTGTTTTCGCTTTGCTCCTGACTCGATCAATCACACCGAGACAAACGCGCGTTATCATTATCGAAGGCAGAATGCGCATTAATATCGATCTCCGCGCGATTAACGCGGCCCGGCGTTAATTAGCTTCGTTTATCTCGGATCGAATTTCCATCGGGCGTGGAGATTACGTCCGCGCAGAAGCCGTATCACGGCGGTGTATCTGTAAACACGAAAACTGCAGCGGATACCGCGGTCGTTCTGTTCGCCGCGGAAACTAGCGGGTTTCTAACGAAACCTCTAAACGCCTGGGCAAACAGCTCATCGTGTCGTTTGTTCGGATGTCTTCACTGGCTGCCGCGAATGACGATGATTTCGAGCGAGAAATCGTGCCTCGAGAATTCGAAATCGAAAGGGGGAGAATGAAAATGTTTATCGCGGGTCGGACGAAGTTCGAAAAGTCCGCGCGAGGTGATTAACACGCTCGTTGGTAGCTTATTTCGCTGACGGGTTTCTTAATTGTAATACTCTCTTCAATCCAATGAATCTGAACGGAATACTAGAAAGATGGAACTGGATCATTGAGTTCTTAACCAGTTAACTGTGTTTGACGAGTATACACGTCATAAAGCTTGACACGATATCAATTCTTTCAGCGATTAATTGATTTTTTCACATAGACATGTAATTCTTCTTTGTTCTTTGATCTTTCATTAAAATATACTCGTGCATTCGTCCTTCGATGAGTACACGCTCCATTTTATTATTATATTGCGCGCAGAACGAGAGGTTTTGCAAACTAAATTCCACAGTTAACTGGTTAAATATAAAGTTTATCGTCTAGATTTTACCAAAGAGTGTTGAATATTTCTAGCGAAAAACTTTCGGGTGCAAAGGGTTAATGGAGATGTATGTAGGCGTAGCCGATGCCTAAAGCGGGAATCGACAGAATGGATGACGAATGAATGAACGAAGATGAGAAAGATTGATTTTCTCGGAACGTTGATTAGTTGGCTTGTTTCGATTGCATTCAAGTCTCGGCTGCGATTAGTTTGGAACAGAGACGTAAGGTTTTCTAAAGTTTTCTCTGTTGCTCGTCGTGACAACGGACTCGATGACCCAGTGCATGCTCGGTTCTTATCGATCGCCGGGAGTTCACGGACCCGCGAATTCGAAATGCGAAATCGACGTGATTCACGGTGACGCAAGTAGGAGCGGAAAAAAAGCGAGAAAAAAGCGGTGCAGATGATTTCACCGACTCCGCGAGCATCCATAATGATTAATCGCTCGTTGCCGACCGGTCGACCGTTTGTCATACCGCGTGTTTACATGTATTTACACGCGCCGATACGCTTCGACAGTCGGCGACCGTGAATTCGCAGTTCGCGTGGACTTAAACGGAAGCCAGTTTCCTGAGATATTCGATAAAATTATCTCTATTCCTCGGCAGACTAGACTGACGGTGTTTTGAACCGTTTAACCCTTTCCGCTCGGGAGGAGACTCTCGGTCGCCGTTTGATTGAACGCAGGAGAATGATAAAATGACGAATTCAATGTGAAATATTGAATAAGGTAGCACTCCACCTGATTTTCCAATCTACCAGCAACTCCAAGACATTTCTAGTCCTCGCGATGAATATGAAAAAATATTATAACATTTCTTAGATTTTTTGCATTAAATGCAGCAATCATAGGATAGTTTTTTCACTTTTCATCATCGAAACGTTTAATGATAGAAGGGTTTCGTCTTGCAAAGGGTTAACACGTGAAACATGGAAATGAAACAATTCTGCCCTACAATTTATGCGAGATGTTCCTTTATGTAAGTTGCAAATAATATTGTTAACCCTTTGACCTCTGTAGGCTCCAATATTGCACCGGTTACAATATTAAATATTTTAATGAATCAAAGACTACCCTAAAATTATTAGACTTTCTATTATTAATTATTAGATTTTTATTAAAAGATCGAAGGTCAGTTGCTGATAAATTACAAAACCCTCTGGAGTGCTGGTTAATATTTCGTCAGAAAATAATGAATGTTCACGAGAACTAAATTCAGTATTGTTCAACGATTAACCCTTTGAACTCTAGAATACTTTTCATTACAAATTATTCCGAACTGGAGCATTACGGAGAAACATTTTAAATATAATGTACTTCAAAGTTTAGAGAACAGCGAGGTAACCGTTGAAAAACTGGCGAGAGTCGAAGAAGCCCGCGTGAAACCGCGTATAAAGGCGCCGGTGAAAGTTGGAGAAAGATGTGTACCGTACGAGCGGTTTCGAGAATCTTTGAAACTGAAAGGAAAGTGCATCCTGTCGGAGAGATAGAGAAAGAGAGTCAACGACTCTCGAGTAGCAGTTTACGTTCACATGCGCGCGATCAAGTTGGTTTTCATACGAAGTTACGTCCGCGGACTTTCTTTTCAATCTATTAATCACGGTACACGGATTAACCCGTCGTTTCTGCTCGCCCATTGCCGTTACATCAACTGCTTTTTGCTTTCTCAGGAACTTTGTCAATTACCGGGTCGCATTCATTCATATTGCAAACGAACGAGTAAACCGTATAGTCCCATAGAAATATGATAACGCGCGTGAAGCGCATATTCATAAGTTTATTTATAAATTCTTAGGGCGCGTGAAACGGCTCAAAGTAAATTTCCCATTCGCGATCAATTGACCGGAACAACGCACAAGGGTTAACGTCCGCGAAGTAAATTGTGGGAACTTCTCATTGACGCGTGTCACCTACAGATGTAAATACAGAGTCCCATGGTACTTTACAGAAACTGGGATCAAAATCGAAATAGATCCTCGCACTCCGTTGCCTATGCTCCCATCAGCTTCCCTCGCGAATGAATTAACTATGGGCCGAATTTTTGTTATAACAAAATCTATGCAGTAGAAAATTAATAAATATCCACATATAAATACAAATTAACAATTCGATACTGTCAATTTCATCAAACGAATATGCTTTGTAACTTTCAAGTTATGACGTTAAACTTTCACGCCTGAGATAAAAGTTTAACTGATTAATTTTATTCACCACACTGAGTGCAGAATGAAATAAATCAACAAGCTGCCAATGTACTGATACGTGACTTCAAAGTTACGTGGGCCTGCAGAGGGTTAAGAAACTTTGTTATTGCGACAAAGATTTTTCACTGGACTGAACGTTGAACACCGGTGCATGTTATAATGGAATCCGCGGTATAGCCGTGCAAATCGATCCCACGGAGTTAATTCTGTTAAGAAAAATTAGGAACGCGCGTGCAGGCAGCAACTCAGCTGGAAGCGCGGCCGATCGACGTCGCCGTGTGCAAATTGGGTCGTGTCGTTATTACAAACCTGACTGCTGGTTAAATAATTCGGTTCAAAGGAGTCGCCCGGTCGCGGTTGTTTGCTGTTGCCCGCGCGATACCATTGGCGCCGTAGATTAGCACGCTATTAGCACGCGCTCGAGCAAGGCTACCGCGTCCAATGGTAACGTGAACGCGAAAGATCACGCTACGACTGGACTGCGGGAACCTCTGCGACTCGCTAAAGCAAGGCCGGCCGGGAAGTCGCGCGAAGAGGAGGGATCAATGGGCGGCGACACGTAGTTAATGTGCACGGACGCGGGCCTTTCCTTTCCGTTGATTCGATTTGGCGGGCCGTTCTTTAACCCACGGCACGTTAAAACACTCCCAAATCTTGCCGTTTGATCGATAGTTCCTGAAACGGCGCTGGAAACTTGTTCAGGCACCGATACGTCCTTGACCGTGAAACCCTAGATCCTCGAGCTCGACGCCGTCATGCTCGCAGAAGAGATTGACCTTTGAAGTCTTAACTGAATTAGGAACGTTGTAACGTGTCCTCTTCAAACTTGGTCCCTCCCTCTTGAAACGAGCCGTACGCAAACATTTGCTGAAACTTATCGGACGAGAGATTAAGATATGAAAATATGCAGCTGAAATATGTGAAAATACGTTTGCGATTTGTTGTTCGTTAAATTGTTGATTATCGTACTTACGAACGCTGAGGATGTTTTCCTGTGTCGGTGGGCGGCACCGTTGAGCTATTTGAAAATTCTAGACCGATTTCCGTGTATGCGGAAGAGTGGGCGGGACGAGCGAGTTAAATGTTAGGGTAATTTGTATGAACTTTAGACGAAACTGTTTCGTGTAACGATGGCGGATCTCGAATAAACATGAGGTCGCAAGGACGACAATGAAAAATGCCGAGATAATTCCAGAAATTGGATAGTTTTATTATTTTGTGAGAAATATCGGACGGTTGAACACTCAATTTCCGTGAGATAAACGCTCGGAGTGCACACAAACTTTGTCGACGCGACGTAGGTGATAAATGCTTCATTGGACCCTTATTAACAATTATTGTTAATCGTAATACGTATAAACTATGCTCAGATTGTAAAACAGAGATAACAACTCGATCGAAATAAATATCTCCTGTGATGTTGATTGATTAAGCTTACGATATAAACGATAATTAATGAAAAAAGAAGCTCACGTTATCGCGATTGAGTTTGTGGTGTTCATATCTTCTTGTAACTGGGTGCGATCTCGTATTCGAGCGCACATCAGACTGTATTCTAGTACGCCGATTCGTACGTTCATTTCGGAGATTTCATTCTTTATTTTAGTAATTGTCTTTTTTATGTTTATAAGCGGAGCTATGGAGAATTAATTAAATTTAATATGTCTGTAATATATTCAGTTATATGAAGGAAGTATAAATCAATAGATACTTACTTCCGTCCGTCATACTCGATCCTCGTTCATCCATCTCCTTTTTTACGTGTTCTAATTCCTCTGATAATTTATTAAAGATTCTTGTTCTTTCAGTCACACCGCCGCTAACATCTCGATACTGCTCTTTAATTTTGGACAGTTCTTCTTGTAGCGTTTGATAGTCCTTTAGGATTGGCTCCAGTTGTTTATTTAAGTAGGATTCTCTTGTTTTTATTTTGTCCAATGTATTTGACAGATCTGTGTGCAATTTATCCAATTGACCCTTTGTTCCAGTGAGATTCGTTGTTATATTTGTACGTAGTTGCTGCATTTGGTCTATGTGAGACCTCCAGTCTCTTGAATCTGAAAGTAATTTCTGTGTTATGAATTTACTGTTTATTTTATCATTGCACAATTTATACCTGTTTTAACAGTTACTTTCAGTTGAGGCAAAACTCTTTCCAGTTCCAATTGCCACTCTTCCCTGTTGGTTTTAGATTGTAAAATATCATCTGGCTTTTGTATTTCATTCTATAAAAGATTAAGAAGTATTAGGTATAGATCTTATATATATTATATGCATTAGTCTGGTACTAACAAAATTTTGTCCATAAAGTTTTGTAATATCATCAACATGTAAAACATCTTCTTCTTCATCATCATACTCTGCCATCATTTCTTCCTCTACTTTCTCTAGTATTAATTCTGCATCGTCATCTTCTATCTCTGGTTCATTATTTGGTTCATCAGGTGGTATTTCTATTCTAGAAATATTAATTTATTCAGGACATTAACATGTACTTTAGAAACTTTTGTTAGTATACTTTCAAATATGTACTTTTTCCACTGAAATTTCTGTATTTTTAAAGCCGCATCTGCTAAGTTATCCAAAACATAAATAGCATGATCACCACTGCCCTGCTTGAGTTTATTAGGTGGAAATTCTATTGATATATTAAATTCCCTTGAATGATCCAATATTAATGCTATTGTGGAATTAGGATCATCTGATTCTTGTGGAGGATCAAAATTTCTACCAGCTTTCCTGATTAACCATGCAGCTAACGATGTAAAAGTATAAAACTGTTCTCCAGGATTTGTTTGTGTTACAAAATAACTCCTGTACGCAAAGAATATATGATTCTGTTAAAGATTCTAACAAATATTGGAATTAGAATTTTGATCTGTTGTTGCTTTATCTACCTATTTATAGTTTTTATTTTAAATTCTGGTAAAAACTCTGTATCGTAATTCAATAACTTCAGTTTCTCTAATAAATCCTCCATCTTAACGTAAGTAACGTACGAAGCAGATGGAGAAGACCCATCTTCTATGACAATTTTTGGAGCGTCTCGAAACATTTCTGTAATAAGGTTGCATTTTATCATGACACACGTCAGTGCAGATTGTAAAAGTATGTGCATATTTTTATTTACAAATCTGTACATGTTTACCTCTTATTCAGTATTAATTCTGGGAAGGATCATGCATGCATATACAATTTATTTACATCTGTAAATAAAACAGTGAGTTCAATGCGTTAAGTGAACATCTCGTTAATGTCAACTTTAATCATGTAAATTTCATGCTTTGAGACCTCGATATCGTCGATCGTGCAATACAAATATATACAGTTCATTGGAGTTTTTCCGTTTGAATGGCATCACAGATAACTAGGGATATTTATTTTGATAAGATGACGCTACGTTCACCGAGTTGTAAACTTCGTAAAACGATCCCAATAGTTGGTAGTTCCGTGAGTTGTTCATTTTGTTGATTTTAACAATCGGTCATATTCAGTTTTCTCTTAGGTTTACTGAAATCTTCACGTGTAAAGCGTTTGGAGTGTACTGTTACACAAGGAAAATACCTATGAATCATCAGATTTCATCCTAATGCGATTTAACATCCACTCATACTGATAGTTCATCAGAATGGGTCTAATACCCGAGCCGCTATTGTTCGTACTAGCTTTGATCGATACCGGTTCAGTACTTTTCCTTTTGGTGTATTTTGTATCCTTTTTAAGTTTCATAATCGTATTTAGACGTATTCGATTGCCTTTATCCACTTTATTTTATTCTAATGTACTGAAATCTTATACGTATTTATCTTATACAGAAAAAGGCGGATCTAGGGATTTTTAGGAATGTTCCGTTTGTTTTTGTGCTGCCATGTAATTATAATGGCGCGAAATTCAATCTTAAAGTTATTAAAATAGGTGATCCCATTTACTTTATTAACCATGTAGGTGGTTTTGTTACTTTTCCTTACCTTAATAATAGCTCATAACTATATCGGACTTAGAATGTGACTATTTAAATGCTCAGCAGTGTTGTTCAAAGCTTAATACGGTAACATTGTTATATCATTATTCTTACTGTGTCGCAACAATAAATAAATTATAAAATACACATTATTCACTGCTTATTTTTATATTGTTATCTTAAAATAGATAGATCTTTAATTAATATTGACTTTAGTAAAAATATTTTTCAGTGGGTAGTACCAAAGCTTGTAGCACATGTATTCTTAGAATTCCTGTTGCTAACGCATGGCCAGTTAATATTATGGCTGGTAAACTTACCTATGACACTATGGTTACTCTACGAATATTTCGGAGTACCCAAAGGTAATATGGGAGTTTATGATCCTACAGAAATTCACAATCGTGGCCAGTTAAAAAGGCACACAAGAGATTGTATGATTTATCTCGGATATTATCTTATATTCTTTTTTATTTATCTTTATTGGTAAGTATAATCTACTTAGATTTTTATCATTATTAAGAATAAATAAATGAATATCGTGATTATTCCACTTTTCAGCATGATTATCGCGTTACTGAAAGGAGATCCGATCAGGAGAAATGAAGAAGATTTGGTGGAATCATAATACATATAGCAACGCTAGTAATAATATTTAACTTTTATATTCTTCTCTGTTTTACTTTGGTTAGTCACAATTCAATTATTATTATTTATTTTTACGTTATTAAAACCAAATAGAACTTCGTTAATCTATACAGATACAAAAGAGCCAGTTACACAACCACATTTATTTTCGATTGATATTATATTTCTTTGAAGACTGAGATTTCCTATACATAAGAATTTCATAAGATTTATGGAGGCTTCTATGTCAATTCAATTGTATTTATATACACTTACATTGTAATCTACGAATATGTAATATGAAACTCAATTCTGTGGTTATGAACGTTTAAACAAAATATGAATTGTAATTGAATGCAATTGCTATTGTTTAACATTATCATAATTCTCTCATTATATAGGTTCTCCACGTTAAGAAGAATATTAAATGTTTCGGCGCAACTTTCCAAATTATAACTTGAGCGCCACGGTATCGTCGGAGTGTAGTGAAGTACTGAATAGCTCGTTAATTCACCGAGCGTTAAATCAAATTGACTCGAGTTTAATGGGCGCGGGACAACAAGATCGGATCGATTTAATGAACTCGTTGCAGTTGATTAGTTTTTTCTGCGTAGAGGGTGTATATCTATTTTTATCCGAGTTCAAAATTAGAAGGTAATAAAATAATACGACCAGGTTTATGAAACTTCTCAGACTAAGCACAAACGGTCGATTTCTCTTTGACTATACCATGTATTTTACGACACTCTGAATATGTTCTAAAGATTATTTAATACGTAACGGATGCGCAAAGTATGCGGGAAGTGAAATCTTCGATTTCCATTGAACGTCATGAGTCGTCAACGAGGAATATTTCGAAACCAAAAGCGAGAGGTGATATTAAATACTGTTCCGCCTGTACGTTACGGGTCACGATTGACCCGTTACCGACCTTCCATTGCGTTGTTATTAAACTATCGGCTCTCCGAGGGTTAAATGCAATGAAGGCAGAAATATTCTCAGCGAGCGTTGTATATACGATCAGAATAGAAGATCGTTAAGTAGCGGATATTCATTGAATATCAGGGTTCGCCGCGTTAAAATCAATTTGAGCGCGATGAGGCGCACGTGTAGTGCGTTCCACAACTGGATAAAATTTCGTGGAAACATCTTTCGAATATCGTTCGAACTGTTCATTCCACGGAATCGAAAATTAGATACGTCTCGCGATAGAGAACGAAAATTCCAAAAAACGAACGGAACGTTTTGTCATAAATTATGATATACATGTACGCGATAAAAGCGAGCCGAGGTAGAAAATAGTATTACGGCGCAAGAAACCATAACATTTGCTACAGTAAATTTATTTTTAGTTTAACTAGGAGTACTCGCGTGTATCAACGTACAGCGTCCAGAATTTTCATCGTTCGAGTAATATAATTCGGTGAAGCTAAGCAGATGCGTTTCAAAGTAATGGTAAAAATATTTTCAGTATTCCCCGAGTAAAATCCTACCTTTAAGTACCGTCTTAATGAACTTATCGCAAAATGTATATTACATTTTTTCGAGTGACACGCATGTTTTCAAATAAAATAGAATTAAGTATTTAATATTTATTTGAAAGATTCTACCCATCACTGGTGCGTTCTAGCATGATCCGCTGCTGGCGGCTAGTTTGGGGCACCAATGTGAGCGCCTCCTGGCGACGAGGGTAACGGGTGACGGATGACGGGTGACGGGTGGCGGTGCTCGGATCTGCTTGGATCGTCTTTGGTAGGGCGCGCGGAACGATGCTTTTCTGGACCAAGAACTGAGTGCGCGAGTGCTCGCGGCTACGAAACTTTCGCGGTGCATATTAATTGTGAGTTCTTCGTCGTCGTGTACTGACAAACGTAAACGTGACACCGAGCCGTTCCCTCGTATTCCCTCTCGCGTTCTGTCCAATCCGAGATTCGTTGACAGTGGCCCGAGTAGTCCCGTGACTATTGTTTTCTTTTTCGAAATCATTCGATTAGCCGGGACTGAACTACCGATTGACAACGACGTCGATGTTTAACGAAAGCACCGCTGATTTCTTGTGCTCCCACGCAAAACGGTACCCGCCAGAATATCGCGGCGACGACGACGACGGCGACGTCGTCGTCGAGACACGGTCGCGTCTCCCGTTACAGATGATCGGACAACAGCACCTGTCGAGGTAAGGTGGTTCACAAGGTGCGCCTAATGCTTGACAGATTTCCGATGAGGCTTACGTCGACGTCATCGCCGCCGCCGTCGCCGCCGTCGTCGTCGTCACCGTTGTTTTCGCCGTCGTCGTTGCCACAGCATCTAACATTCTCATCGCTGCTGTCGTCGACGTTGCTGGTATCCTCGCTGCTGCCTCTGACACCGACGTCATCGCTGTTGTCGACGTCCTTTTCATCACAGTCACCGTCATTGTCATCGTCCGCATTGTGGTTGTCGACGTGCTTGTTATTGTTCCCACTGGCATAAAGCGCACCCTGACTTGCTCGATACTTTATTATTGTGCCCGTGCCAAGGAGCCGAGTTGTCTCATTCGAGTCCACTTACAGTACCTTTCGGACAGGATGGCAAGTACTAAGACATCGGGTAGTGTCTTGCAATTCAGACCTGTCGAGGTCTCGCAGATGTTGCAGGATGGGGAGAAGTTTGTCAAGTGGGACGAGGTACATTTGTAAGATTTATTCCCTTTTGTCAATAACCAGGTGTAGGTTCCTAAGTTGCTCGTTTATTTATTTCTATGTTGGTATATCTTTGCACCTTGATTTTTGAGGAGCATAATAAGTTTTGGTTATTGACATTAGGATTAATTGATAAATGGGTATTACGCCGCGTACGGTGTTTAAATTTGTATGTTTTTGTGTAGGATTCTGGCATAGCCACCCCGGTTACACTACGGGTGGACAAGTTTGGATTTTATTTGCACTGGGTGGATCAGCACAATGAAATGGAAATGCTAGATATTGCTGCGATCAGAGATACTAGAACTGGAAAGCATGCTAAAGTACCAAAGGTATTTAACAATATTTTTGACTAGTAGAGTTAAGAGGTATACTATTAATTTTGAGATGATCCACTCGAAGAATGTTTGACCTTAATTTGTAGATTTATATCCAACAGAATTGAATGTTCCGAATTAGAAGTATCTGTGTTTTCTATAATTATATTGTGCTTCCACGTGGATGCTAATGACGCACAGCATCACCGCATGATAATTATTGACAACTCTATAAATAGAATATTACCTACATTGTGTCCTCAATGTAGTTCATTCTTTTTCAGTCTTACCTATCTTCATGTTCAATGAACATAATAGTAGTCATATAGGGATGAGAAAATTCTTATCAGTTCTGTTTTCCTATAAATCAATACGCAGTTTACAAAGCTGTTTTATGCATAGTTTCACATTGTGTTAGTAGCTTATTGTAATAGAAGCTATTATTACTGACGCGACACGTGCAAACATAATGTAAAACAATGAAACTTTGCCGAGGCCACCGCATTCTAACTTGAAAGTTGTCGCTTTTGATCGCGTTTATCGAATGAAACACTGGTTTTCAGGACCCTAAGCTAAGATCGCTCGTGACAATGGGCTCTCAAGACTCTTTAGAGGAGAAGACAGTAACAGTTTGTTATGGATCTGATTTTGTCAACATGAATTTTATTAACTTTTGTACGACACGTGCGGAGATCGCCCAACATTGGACAGATCAAATTTTCCAGCTTGCATACAATCTAACTCTGCTCAACACCAGCACGACAATGTTCTTGCAGAAAGCACACACCAAACTTACACTAACAGCCGATAAATCGGGAAAAATTCCTGTGAAGAAGTGAGCACAATTTGTACATGTGTGTTGTGTGTCTATTAAAATTGATATACATATACATATATACATATATATATATACAAAATATGCATACCTTGTATATTGTCGTTTCAGCATAATAAAAATGTTTGCACAAAACAAAGAAGATCGTAAGCGTGTCGAGAAGGCACTCGATATCTCTGGTTTTCCATCTGGAAAGGTAAGTGTAATAAATTAGGCTATCTTAAGTTCCTATCTGATACTTCATCCGAGGTATTTATAGGAGATAAACGTACGAAATTCCGCAGCCTAGCGACAGTATTCATTGCGAGAAAAAAGAACTCATGTATAATTTAAATACACATTTACATATATACATATATTATGCAGTTTTCTGTTTTCTTTTTATTTTCAGAACGACGTGATAGCGTTACAAAAATTTCAATTTGAAGATTTCTTCAACTTTTATAAATCTCTTACACAACGCTCGGATGTCGAGAAGGTATTTGAAAGCATTGTAGGCAATAACAAGCGTAGATTAATGTCCGTGTCGCAATTCGTGGACTTTCTAAACAAAACCCAACGTGATCCACGTCTGAACGAGATATTGTACCCTTACGCGAACGAGGCGAGGGCGAAGGACATTATAAGTCAATACGAACCAAATAAATGTAATGCGAATAAGGGTCAGCTGAGCTTCGATGGTTTCCTGAGGTATTTAATGAGCGAGGATAATCCGATCGTTGCCACATCAAAGCTCGAGTTATCGGATGACATGGACCAACCGCTTGCGCATTACTTTATAAATTCTAGTCACAATACATACTTAACAGGTTTGACTCTGCTTTGCCCTTTTTTCTCTCACGAATTTCCGCAGGAAAAAATGTTACAGTAAAATATTTTTCAATGCATTTGTAGGGCATCAACTGACCGGAAAGAGTTCCGTGGAAATATATCGCCAGTGTTTGCTCGCCGGTTGTCGATGCGTGGAATTGGACTTTTGGAATGGAAAATTCGACGAGCCTGTCATTGTTCATGGGTATACCTTTAATTAAAACTATTCTTTAGCCACGTAAATTCGTAATGCCATGTTGTTGCAAGTCGAAACGTGTCCCTTCCAGATATACATTTGTACCTGAAATCTGTGCACGAGACGTAATCGAAGCGATTGCTGAAAGTGCATTCAAGACATCAGAGTATCCTGTTATCCTTAGTTTTGAGAATCACTGTAATCCTAGACAGCAAGCTAAAATAGCTCAGTATTGTAGAGAATTGTTTGGTGAGATGTTGCTTGACGCACCATTAGAATCTCATAAGGTATTTCGCTAGATGGCTATGTGATTAATCCTCCCCTAACCGCTGAGTTTAACTGATCAAATTTGTTGATCAGTTGGATCCCGGCCAAGAATTACCACCACCAAATTTATTGAAACGCAAGATCATCATTAAAAATAAGAAGAAGCATCACCATCATCATAAGAAGCACAAGAAAAAGCAACCGGCGCAAGCGGCCGAGTCCGAGGAAGGGGCTCAAGAGAGCGAGGACAACGGAGTGACGAATCAAGCCGTCGAAGAAGAGAACGGTCCGGCATCGGACGTTGCGCCCAACGTTGAGAACGATAGCAACGACCAGCAGATTGGAAATGGAGATATCAGTCATCCCCCGATGCTGCAACAGAGGCAAGGCAGCAAAGACAGTGCTCAGGACGAAGATGGTTAGTGTTTAAGGAATACCCGACGTGAACCCAGAGTTTGAAACGTTTGCCAATTCCAGATGACGACGAAGAAACAAGTACCGAGGAGGATGAATCGAACGTGGAAGTGCCTGCAGCTGATAAAGCGAACAATGCCAAAGAAACGGAAGCTGGAGCGGAGATCTCGGCGTTAGTGAATTACGTGCAGCCTGTTCACTTCAACAGTTTCGAGTCGGCTGAAAGTACGTTCAGTATACTGATCTACAGTTTGCTATTTTTCACTTTCACACCGTGTCTTATAACCTCGTCGACTTTTGCAGAAAAGAATCGTATGTACGAGATGTCGTCGTTCGACGAGAAACAGGCCACGACTCTTTTGAAGGAAAAGCCGTTAGAGTTTGTGAACTACAATAAGCACCAACTGTCAAGAGTGTATCCCGCGGGGACGCGTTTCGATTCCAGCAATTTTATGCCTCAAGTATTCTGGAACGCGGGTTGTCAGCTGGTTGCGTTGAACTATCAGACGCTCGGTACGAGAATCGAATACGAAATTGACAACCGAAAATGCCCTTTGGCAATACATTTGATTTTTCTTCTCTAGATCTTGCCATGCAATTAAACTTGGGTATCTTCGAGTACAATCAACGATGCGGCTATCTTATGAAACCGGAGTTCATGAGACGAAAAGACTGCAGATTAGATCCTTTCGCGGAGTCAACTGTGGATGGCATTATAGCTGGCACGGTCCACATACACGTAATATCGGCCCAGTTTTTAACCGATAAGAGAGTGGGCACTTATGTGGAGGTGGACATGTACGGTTTACCAGCGGATACCGTGAGGAAGAAATTCCGTACGAAGATTGTTCCTAATAACGGCATCAATCCGGTATACGACGAAGAACCTTTCGTGTTTAAAAAGGTGAACGGCATTTCCAGTTGTCCTCGCGAGGCGTGATTTTAATTTAATAATCAAATCTTCGGTTACACGTTCGCCAGGTCGTCCTGCCCGAACTTGCTTCGCTCAGAATTGCCGCGTACGAAGAATCAGGACGTTTGATCGGCCACAGAGTGTTGCCAGTGGTTGGATTGTGTCCAGGATATCGACACGTTGCTCTCAGAACCGAGTCCGGCCAGCCGTTACCGTTGGCGAGTCTGTTCCTACACGTGATCGTTAAGGATTACGTCCCGGACGGTTTGAGCGAGTTAGCCGAAGCGTTGGCGAATCCGATTAAATATCAGAGCGAAGTGGAGAAAAGAGAGAAGCAGCTGTCGGTTCTGACGGACTGTTCGGAGGAGCTGTCGGAGGAAATCGATGTAAGGTTTGAGACATTGAGAGGCTCTTGCTTACTAACTTCAGTAACGCACTAACACCCGTGTACTAACATTTTATAGGATAAGCCGAAAGTTAACGAGACACCAAGCTCCTCTAAACCACCTGTAAGTTCGTCGGTTAGAGGGCAGTGTGAAGTTGCGGTTACAGTTAGATACTCAAAATCGAAATACTTTGTTCCAGGAGGAAGCAGTGAAAACGAAGAGATTACAATCCGTGGGCGAGCTGCCCGCGCTGATTCCTCCGTCTGCCAATCTGCACGGGAGGCCATCCATTGCCGGTGTGAATGCTTCCGATACGCAAGATAACGAAGAGGGAACTCCAGTCCCTGCGGCTCCGGTTGCAGATACATCCGCGAACAAGAGTCCGATCAACGCCAGCAGCGGTAAGTAATTGTTATTCGTTTACCCCGTGAACCAGGGTTCACGCGAGCTGCTTCACGTTACAGCTAATGATGAAATAATGGCGGAGTCGTTGGAGAAGCTAATGGAGAACAAACTGGTCAAGGAGAAAAAGCTGGAGCTCGAGAAGAAGTTGGAGTCGCTGCGGAAGAAGCACGAGAAGGAGAAGATCAGAGTGCAGTCGCAGAAGGGGTCGATCGACGGCGAGAAGCACAAGTCGAAGTTTTACGTTAGCCATAAACTGGTGAAGCGTCTGTCCAGCAAAAATATGTAAGTTACCGATTGTCGCGCAAATAAACATGTTTATGCATTTCTAGTTCCTTTTGCAGCTTCTCGAGCGAGGTGGGGCTGAGCACCTTGGCACTGGCCGAGACCTCGGAGTGCACGGATCTGGAGAACCGCGAAGGGAACGGCGGAGCGCCGAAGGGCCTGCCGAGAAGCCAAAGCGAACGTTTGCTGGCTGTGTGCAAGGCCCACGTTCAACAGGAACGGGAGCTCCAGGAGAAATATTACGAGAGCTTGTTCGCCACCGTGGAGAAAGTGATGAAGAACTCTCAGTCTAACCAGCTGAAAACGATGAGAGTCCTCTTCGAGCGGGAAATCGCGGATGTCATGAGGAAGCTTCAGGCTAACAGACACGGAGAGGTATGCGTCCCAGTGCTAATATTAGATCGAGTGCTGGTTTTAATTTGTCCACGCAATTATCACACTTGGCATCTGTATTCGCGTCCGGCCGTAGGTGAAACAATTGGCAAAGGTACATAAAGACAAGGCGGAGTTGGATCGCATGAAACGGGAGGTCGCGAAGTCGACCGTGGAGAAGGGCGTGAACGAGTGTACGCGGTTGACGAAAATCTACGAGAAAAGGAAAACGGAGCTCGTGCGCCAGCACGAAGAGGTTCGGCAGAGGCTCGACGAGGAGAGGACCAAGGTTCCGAACGATTCACTTGAATATATTCCTTATGATTCATTGTGTTCGTCCTTTGGCACAATGTAAATCATTTCTATTCGCGTTTCAGATGAAGGCGACCTTGATGGCCGAGTATAGCAGTCGTTGCAGCAAATACGAAAGCGGCGAATTGCCGTTGTCTCCCTCCGGGGGAACGAGCATGCCGGAATCGCTCAGCGGTAACACGTATTGAGCGACGCCGGCGGTCGATGACTCAGTCTCGATGTGAAATAGCTTGAGAATTCGCGAATCCACGCCGGTGAACGGATTTTGCCAGTAGCAACGTCACTGGTTCGCGAGAGTGTGACCGACAACGGGATCGCGCATTGCTTCTCCGGGAAAGAGGAGTTGCGCAACGGCCGCGGATAGGGAATTGGTGAAGTCTACGCTGTTACCTGTGTTTTTTGCTAACCATAATTTTTGTCCATTTCCGTGAAACAAGAGGAGAGTTTGTTCCCGCGACGTGTACGGCAAGCATTTAACGAGGGACTGTGTGTACGAGTACGTTCAAGACGAGAGAGAGGCCTCGTCTGTCCACGAAGCATTTGACAAGAGAGTCCCACGCGCAAGGAGTTTCTTCTAACGACGGACGCGGTGTCCTGATCACGGGGCGCAGCACACGGGCCGCGATTCCCCTGAGTCCACGGCGGAATGTTGTTGCTTCGCGGAAGGTTTTGATCTCAACGGGAAAAGGAGAGGGACAGAGACGCGTCGCGTTTCAAGAGGACGACCGTACGCAGTAAGGCGAAGAGATGATTGTTCGCTCGGGTTGTTCGTTCTTTCGTTCCGATTTTCGATATTACTTTTTACGCACAGTATTAAACGCACCTGTTGTTTTCTCCATTACGCTCGAGACCGTCGCCAGCGGAGTTTCAGTCACTTCTCTGTGCAGTTCTCCCGCGGATAACTTCGGAAAGGCGCGCGAGAGAGTGAGTGTATGTGTGCGTGTATGCGAGATAGAGAAGAAGCGACAGAGAGATGAAGAGGAAGAGAGGAGGAAAAGGAAAGGAGAGAGTATGCGTGTGTGTGTGAACGACCCACGCGGAAAGGAAAAAAAGGTACACGATTCTAAATAAGAATAATCTTTCTAAGTGCTACTATTTAATCTTGTTATTATATGTATAAGGCGTTATTTAATTAGCGAGCTGATGAACGCGTTCCAAGATATTATACTCGGGGTTATACTCGTGAACGTTGCAGGAATCGGTCGATCGCTACATAATAATCGGACCTCAGGAAAACTTGAATCTAGAATGAGCGAGCGAAAGAGAGAGAGAGAGAGAGAGAGAGAGAGAGAGAGAGAGAGAGAGAGAGAGAGAGAGAGAGAGAG